TTTTAGGAAACTGACCTTTGTAGGACATTGTAGGCGTATAATGGTGGAAGGGTCCGGCGCGACGCACGATCTCCTCAAGGATGATGCCGAAGCTGTATACGTCGCCCTTGAGTGAGGCTACCGCGCCCGGGTACAGGCTGCCCGCCACCAGCTCCGGCGCCGTCCATAGTAACTCTGGACATACCATTCTATAATGCTTTAGTAGTCCGATACGATTTACATGTCTGTCTGTCTGGAAAAATTTAAGGAGCAAAAGAAGTTAAAGTATTAAATTGCAATTACTGTAATAATAAAGATCGCCCTTTATCAAGTCGGTAGGCGTGCAGAGGGTGTTGAGACCGTAGTCGGAGATCTTGAGGACGAAGCGGCCGTCGATGAGGCAATTTGAAGAGCGTAGCTTGCCGTGCGCGCCCAGCCCGCTGTGCAAGTAGCACATGCCCTGACCACAAACGTTCATGTTTATTTGTTATAGACTTTAACACGATCAGTGCCACCGACTAGCAATTTCATAAAAAAACGTAGTGGCACGGAACGCGTTAAGTGCTAATTATTAGGAGAAATGATAGTTTATACAAATAATTGTTTTTTTTTACGTTGAAATTAATGAACCATGGTTCCTATACAAAAAAAAAACAAAATTAAAGTAGGCTTTAGACTTCAGTGTTTTGCGATATCTTAATATTTATTGGTACATACATTGACATTGAAACAATTCAGTCAATAGCATTTTCCAAAAGTGGTTTAAACTTTTGCCTGCTCGTCTACTTACTTGTACGATGTCATGAACCAGCGAGGTGCGAAAGTTCCAGTCGAGCTGCAGCTCCTCGTTAGCGAGGACGTCTTTTAGTGAGCCCTTAGGGCAGTACTCAGTCAGTACGAACACCAGCGGACAGTCAACACACGCACCGATGAAACGCACCGTGTTCTCATGGGACACGTTACGCGCCTTTAGATTGTAGACAAATTATAAAAGATTTTTTTAATCGAATTCACATCACGTACATAAACATAGCAGTAGTTTTAATAAACCGTAACTACTTCTATTGTATTGTATTGCATATTGTTAGATGAAAATATTATAAAAAGCTAGATACATGTAATGTTGTTTTAGGATCGGTTATGAACTCGATAAAATATTCTGCTATAGAAATGAAAATATAAGCGAAAGTTATTGCAACAACTGGAACTATGGTAGTTCTTAAACAAACTAAATGTACATACATCACGGTCTGGTGGTAATTAAATAAAAATACAAAATATTACGAATATATAGCCATATTTATAGCTAAATTATGGACCTAAAAAAATCATAAAAACCTGGTTTAACACACTTTCATGAATTCATAATTATGAAATTTCGCAATAACATCTCAATAATTATGACTTCTTATAATGTGTCACTTTAATTCAAAGAAGCAAGCAGGCAGATAAAGGATGATGGTACAAAGAAGATTCGTTTTGAATACATACCTGTTTAATCTCCCATAGTAACTTCTTATTCAAATCCAGTTTCTTCCGATGTATTTTCTTAACAGCTACTCTATTGCCCTTGTAGAGGCCAACAGTGAAAGATGACAGGGTGAGCGGAGTTCCACCCACTGACGACACAGCGCTTGTCTGACTCCAACTAAGTGACAACTGAACACAAGTTTAGGACCTTAATAACATCTTAACATTGGTAATGTTAATAAGGATGCAAACGAGAAGTACAATATGACAAATATTGTCATCCCTGTTATTATGTTTGACAAAACAGAGATAACAGTTTGAAACGGGGATTCAGGTATCAGAAACGCACGGTAAGTCGTCTAATTTTAATGCCCTAGAATATATATATATATAAGAAGAACCGTCTTACATAGCATCAAATTTGATTGCACCACTGGAACCGATGACAACGCCAAAGCCTTGCTATTCTAACCGTGAGTTTCGGAGACCAAAATCCTCGTTTTAAAACATATTGTGATCTCTGTTTTGTCAAAGATAATGATTGGGATGGCGATGTCTTTTATGTAGAGTTGTTGGGCTCAGAAAACGGTAATAGAAAGAAATACTCGCTTGTTGAAGAACCCTGCTAAGTACACCATTCCACAACACGGTTGTTGCAGTGATATTTTTAAATAAAATAAAACAACGCTGTACAGCAAGACCTTAGAAAATGAATATCACCCGAGACTTGTAATGTGACAAGGTAATACCGCCATTTAATAAGACTGCAAGCTTCAAGATATTAAATTCCTTAACTGAAATGAACGCCCGCAGAAGAGAATAACTTACTATCAGTTGAATCTACCGAAACCTGCAAGGAACATATTGTCGACTTTGTCTGTTTTCAGAGCGAAAGAGAGGGATGACAATATGTTCCACATGTGCTTTAGCAGTGGTTTATGGTTATGCTGTAAGTAACACCTCGTAATTCGAACTTTACGAGCGGTCGCCGGCAACGCGTTTCGTTCTCACGGTTCAAAATATTACAATTTTGTGCATTAAATTTCCAGACATTTTACATAAAACTATAACAGACATCTGCTTAGAATCGACTATGCATTTTGAAACTATAAATATTGAGATCAAGTATTTTAAGGCTAATATTTAAGAAGTTAATTAATTTGTTTAATCTTTCGTGTGACCTTTGAGAAGTTATCGTTTTGTAGTCATTGACCGATGTTATTAATATTTTTAATTCCACAACATAACTTTTCGTCATTAAATTATTCAAACTTTCGTGATACATTATAATAAACTTATATAAAAACGGCTAAACTATATACGTGGGTGTTTAGCCGTTTTTATATAAGTGTATAATTTTTCGTAATCTACAATTCCGGATTCGGATCTACTAGCTATTTATTATTATTTTTATCGTCAAAAAATATTTATTGTGTACATATAAATAAGCATTATCATTTTATCACATAAATAAGTTATAACAAGTAGGAAAGGAAGCTGTAACTTAGTTGCGATAACTTTATCTCACTTGTGCGTTGTTACTCCTCATTCACACGGGCGCTTTTTTTATCATGGGTTAACAACGCGACGCTTTTTTAATCGCGCAGTGTCTTTTAAGCGTTGCACGAGCGGAACAAGGGTATTTTTAAGCGTCCACGCTCGAGAGCCGCAAACGCAATTTTAAAGCTGCGTTTAAAAAACGCCCGTGCGAATGTGGGTTTATGACATCATTAATAAGATTACAAGCTTTTCTTTGTTACAATTTTGCCTGATGATTATTAGAGTGAATTTCAACCCACATACAAACATTTGCGAAAAAAAATATATTATCTGTTTTTTAAAAGACAATGAAAGAGGTTATATGTTTTTGTACAATACTTTTGTCAGTGGAAACTCACTGTTACGATGTAATGTTATGAATTATACCCTTATCATCATCATCATCATCAGCTCACTATACATCCCCACCGAGGGGCACGGAGCCTACCCTAAGTTGAGGGTGATTAGGTCATAGTCAACCACGCTGGCCCAGTGCGGGTTGGTTGACTTCACACATATCTTTGAATTTGATAAATGTACATATGTAAATCGGAAATGGAAAGACACATTGGTACATGGCGGGATTCGAACCCAGGACCTGCAGATTGCAAGTCAAGTGCTTGACCCCTGAGCCACCGACGCTCCTTATCCTTATATTTAATACCTATTTAGTATTTAGTTAGAATTTTGCGTTTGAAAGCAAATTTCAGATCAATAGAGTAAGACAAAGATATTAAGATCGAGGCATTTAGAAAGCATTCCAGGTACTATAGCTAGCGAAAAATCCTAAAAAGCTACCATTATTCCGAGATAACGGCTCCTGATTGTCATTTAATCTATCTAATACGAATAACTACCGAAAAGTTATACGTGCCTTGAATTTATTACTATTAGGTCCTTCCTTTTTTTTGTAAAAACGAATTTAAACATCAACAATTATCAACGTAATTACGTCGCATGCAAAAACAACGTAATTATAGACAATCCAAATCTTATATATATATATAATATAAAAGTCGTGTTAGTTACACTATTTATAACTCAAGAACGGTTTTACCGATATGCCTGAAAATTGGTGAGGAGGTAGCTTAGAGCCAGGAGACGGACATAGGATACTATTTATTCTTTTTATCGAATTTATGCCTTGAAGAGCTGCTTTTTATTTAACTTACTAATATTATAAATGCGAATGTTTAGATGGATGTGATGTGGATGGATGGATGGGTGAGCTACACTAAACCCGCAATGGGTTTATAGACACTTTTATTGTAAATTTGTATTTTATTCCTTGTTTATATAAATAAATAAAAAAAAAATTAAGTATTTTTTATATATCCACGCGGTCGGAATCGCGGGCGACTGTTAGTTAAAAATAAAAATTATGGCAAACTATTTACGTGACCTTTTTATTAATTACCACTAAGAAAATGTCTATTTTTGGATGTAGACGAGCTTGCCACTACTCTTAAAAAATAAAACATGAAAAAATATTTTATATTTTCAATTAATTTAAGAAGGGGCAATACAAAACTGTACCGTAAAGTTTCCAAGGTCTCTCTTATAGAATTAACTTTCTAACAATGTCAAGGTAAACAAAGTAGTTTTGTAACTAAACAAATACTAAATTGTTTCTTTATTACTTAAGATCAAAGCACAGCGTTAGGAAGCCACAGTTTATATAACGAAATTTCTTTTTATTTGACATTTGAAGTACTACTAATTACCGTATTTCGCTACAAAAAAATTCTCGACGAAATTATATGAAATCTTAAAATACAAAGAGGGAATTGAAGACTACTTATTAATGAAATTATATTAAAGCTTCTGTTAGCAGATTAATAATACCTAGCCAAAGCGGATTCGAATAATCGACCGCATCCTTACACCGAATATGCGTCCAAAACAAAACTTATCTTTCGCACAATTGCCGAAGACGCGAACAGTGTGAAAACGCTCTTGTATACACGACACGAGAAAGTCATTGAAAGTGTAGGATTCTTTGGATACTATGCTTGTATACCTTGAGGACCTCGTTGAGGCTGTGCAGAGCGGGACTGGCGCCCAGCGCGCCAACCTCTAGCAGTACTTCCTCGGGCCGAACACGCCACGCCATGTTGTTCATCTCCGCGTCAATACGCGCCTGTCTATATAACAATATACATGACTTCCACAATGTTCTCTCGTAAACATTTCTTCAGAATTTAATTTAATTCTAACAAAAACTTCTACATCATACTATTCAAGCGCAATTTCAACTAAAAATATTATTGTATTTATAAATCAATACACATATTGATTCGTGAAATAAACAGTTTTGTACCTCTTTTTATGAAAATGACACAGATAAAAATTATTTATAGAAGATATGCATAAAGCTATTTGTTATAAAAAAAATAAGAGAAAAACACTTTTATAATTAATTATGAACGAATTTTGACCATTCTGCGACTAGGATTTACTCTTTGATATTACTATTGATGTTTTTAAAACAGTAATGAGCCGATAATATCAGCGTCATTAGTTTATTAAAGCTAAAAACGGCAACATATCTTATTTCCATTATATCTTAACATCATTAAATCGCGAGTTTGTTATTAGAATGTTCTCTCCTTTTGCCAGAAGCAATACACAGATCTTAATTAAAAAGTTTTATAACTATATACGAGTATCATGGATGAGGTTGGAACAATACCATGGTGGCGATGTTGGGTGAAAATATACACCCTGTTTTAGGCAATATGTGCCTAACATGATAGTGATGATGATGATATGATGGTGATGATGTGATGATGATAACTTACTTGTATGCGATACACGCAGCGGTTACAGCGAACATCAGAAACAACGCGAGTCCAATAAAACAGTATATTATTACTGTTTGTGCTTCTAGCAGCGTGTAAATTAACAAACACACATTCAGAATTTTTTTAACCAAAACATCGACAAAATTAAATTAAAGAAACAAAGCCAATATAGGAATTACACAAAATAAAAACATCGCCGAATATTCATATTTTTTTCTTAACTAAAATATAATAAAATTTATACCTAATATAAATATTGTAAATATACGCATTTTTAGTTAAAACACGTAAATTCAAATAATTTTCGGAAAACACTCAGCTTTCTCACGTTTACTTTATAACTTTTCCCTACCCGTATTTACAATTTCACTTCATTTCTCAAAATTACAGTGCACACTATTAGGGAAACGGCCGTAATGGAAATTGACTTTAATTATACTCTGACCATCGTAACACCTCAACTTCTAACATAGAAATGAGAGATTTTGATACAGTTAAGGCATATAAGTACTGTCAAGAACTTATTTAAAAACGCTTCCATGGTATGAAACCAAAAAAGGAATTGTCCGATAATAAGCTTTATTGAATTCAAATAATTAAGACTATATAAATTTAGGTTTCCTTGATTGCATAGTTTATTAAAACAGTGACGATAATCTTCATGTAAATTGCTTCACAAAGGCCATTGAATATAACACCCTGTAGTCCGGAATAACTTTATGAGCAATGCAATATTTTTACTACAAAACATAAATCTTTTAGTAGCGTCGTTTAAGATTATAAAGTTTCGTATTCAAGTCGAGAACATCCTCATTAATTAGTGTAATGAACAAGAAAGATATTTCCATGCCTAAGTATATCCTGTTTTATTTATTATTTTAATCTTTTTAAATGAGATCACTTAGTTAATTACAGAGATATGCTTCTCTTTTATCTTATTTAAGCCACCACTTATCGAAACCGTTCAACAGGTTTAAAAAAAAAGTTTGTTTGTGACAGTTGTTGACCGTTTGTTTGAACTAAAGAAAAATCTTTATCATCTGTATCTATACTACAATATTATAAAGATGAAAGATTTGATTGTTTGTTTGCTTGCATTGATTAACACATTAGCTGCCATGTCGGACTATATGTCCGACAAGCTAATGTTTGAATCAAGCCTTGTCGGACACATAGTCCGACAAGCCATACTTCCATTCAACACCTCGCTGTGGCTTGTCGGACGCTTTTTAATCGAATTGTTGTCACATAAAGCTTATAAACGGCAGGTCAATTTTTTTAGTTTTTCGAAAAATCATTCTGGCAGCTAACGTTGTATAAATTCTTGGTCAAAAATCTGCTTAGTCCATAACCATTATTGTCTTGAACTCTGCCTAATTTAAAGCAATGTGAATGAAGACCATTAATACTAAAATTATTACAAAAATCCACTAATAGACACTAGAGGCATTAAAAGAAGGATATTGATCAATACGACGAAAAGGGTAACAACTCTAATTGGGTATAAAATATGCAACTGTTTTCTTCTTATGAGTAAATAATATACCAACCTCCCTGACACATGGGGTCTGTGCCCAGGAAGCCGCAGCGCGGCGTGTCCGGGGGCGGGGCGCGGCGGCCGCCCGGCCAGTGTATTGCCTTGCCCGCTACCGGACGGTAACTGCTGTTCAAGCCATAGTAGAACGCCACCACCTTATCATCATTACAATTAGTCTGATATTTTTTAAATAAATAGCACTTGGCATACCATCACACCAGACGTTAAGTGACGATGTCGCAAATGTACGAGGTAATTTAGTAAATCTTACTAATATTATAAATGCGGAAGTTTAAATGGATGGATGGATGTTTTTTTTTATAACAGAAGAGAGCAAACGAGCCGCGGGAACACCGAGATGTTCAACGACGCCGATAGACATCAGCAATACCAGAAGAACCGCAGATGCGTTCAAAGTTATCTCCAGAACGGTAGAACGCATCTCGATGAAACTTAGCATACTTGTAGATTATAGTCTGGGAGAACACATAGGCTACTAATTATATTGGTTTTTAACCACGACAGCAAGTTTACTGTACACTTGAAGGCTGGTGCTTTGATATTGTTAAGTTTAGTTATCTAGATAAATTATGTAGTAGGCCAGATGAGGCTAATTCTTCGAAGGATGAAAAATATTAAGTACCTTACTTTTAACCTAACGTAATAAATCAAACATTAAATAAAATATCTTTGGAATTTCTTACAATAAAACTAAACATTATTCTGATAAATCTCCGTTGATTAATATCCGGTCGACAAGTCTAATTTATCAAATTTTTATTCAAGATTTTAGGATTTCAATTTTCGCCGGATCTGTCAACTACAAAAAATACTATACTTCGTATAGTATTATAAAAATATAACAAGAGAAGTAATTCTTTTCAAATATTCCATAAATCATATAAATGTCTTAATAAATACTTACACATAAATGGTGAAGACTTACCTCAAACTTGCCCGTGACAGGATCCAAATCCAATATGGCGTAATCAGCATCCCTATCGCCTACAGGATCTATACGAACGTGGCCCGTGATACCTGAAGAAAATCAAATAGTCTAAAGATCATCGCTCTGTCACTACGCGTACTCAACGGGTAGATACCACGCCATGCAGGTCGCCGCACCTCGCGCGGTCTCGGGAACTTTGGGGGTTTAATGTGTGACATTAATGCTATCGAAGTGCATAAGAGTCTGATATTGCGTTTCTTCTAGATGTTTCAGTAAGAGTTTTTCCGTCGAATACAGCTCGTTAGTACACTGTACAAGCTCTTAAACTAAACTACTTTGCTGAACCAGTTGTCTGGACAAAATCGATTTTATTCCGAACAATCGTAATCACCTTATCTCAACGCCGTGCAGATCGAGTACGTGAGAACTGTTCTCATTTTAAATAGCTACAGTTCTCGTAGCAAACTGTATGTAATGACTTTTTGATGACTTCAGTTGTATTGCAATTTAGAAATTATTCTAGCCAAAAAATGTATACATCTATTAATAAAATTGCAATGTCTGTATGTTATATCGAAACAATTTTTATCTATCAGTATTTTTAAATCTTACTAAAAGTCTGTTGTTTATAACTTTCTGAATATAACTTCTATAAAGTTTATCTTACCATGAAAATCTCTCCCCCACATGCGACTCGTTATGTTTCTTCCATCTCTTATGTCTCCTCCTTCAGTCAGAGTTTCGTTTAACGCCATGCCCAAGAGATACACGCCATCGTAGAAAGCACCGATGAAAAAGTTCACCTAAGTACAGATAAAAACAATTATTAAATTCAATGTTCATTGATATTTTAAAGTTTGAATTTTGCACATCGCTACCACGAGCTAAAAGCTCATATTACGAAACCTTTTCACCATTGCGACGTTACTTTCCCTCATACTTTCTTACTCTCTTTTTGAATATTCCCAAATCGTCGTAGAACAATTTCAAAATATCTCTTGATCGGTAATAGTTTTTTTTATAGGAAAAGGGGATGAACGAGCAGCAGATCGCTAGCTTTAATTGATCCAACAGCAATAATATGTTTAACTTGTGAATGTCATATCCCCGTGCAGGTCTTCCTTGGACTCCAGAGAGTCCTGGACCGCTTTGTTAATCTTTGATTTGAGTATATACCTCTTCTCCGTCAGAAAAGCTGTAGTCGTAATGGTCTTTTGCGCGCGTGCGCACGGTATCTGCGAATTCATCAAAGCGGTCGCCGGTAGGCAGCTTGAGCGACACCCGTAGAAGGGCCTCGTAGGCGGCGCGCGCGGCTGTGTCGCGTTCATCCCCCGCCTCCCAACCCGTCTCGCCCCAGTATCCTCCCTTATGTCAGAACACAATAAATATGCCTTTATATTACTAAGTTTGCTTTAATACCACATTAGATGAAAGTAGAGATGCTTACTTGAAATATTTCAACATCTAGGAAGGCCCAGTCACCGCGCGTCATGCCGAGCGCGTGCGCAGCCAGCAGGAACTCCCGCACCAGAGAGCCGCGCACGCTCAGGATCACAACTATGTTATAATAATAGAATGTAGAATAATTAAAATTATTCAAGATTACTTTCAATGTATCCAGTCCGGATTACTCTGTGCTATCAAATCTCACATTTTTCACTCCAGATTTTCCAGAACTGTTTGTCCTTATTTATTTTCCATCCTATTCAATTCTGATTATGATAAAAATATAATGACTATCTACACATTTTTACGTAAGTAAAAAATCTAACTCGAAAACAATGAAATATATTTTCATTACATTAAAAGGCAAACAAACCAGACCCCTTAATATAACATTACAGACACTGTGCAAACGTAAAGGCTCTCAGACGATTGCAATCACAACTTTTTTTTCCAATAAGCGATTAGCCACGCGCGACCGCTGTGTGCACTCGCGGCCCAATATAGTACCTAAACATGGTACATTGTTTACAGAAATTATAGTCGTGCGCAGTAAGTCGCATAAGTGGAAATGAGGTCTATGTGATGTACCTCGGGCGTACATGCTGACGTCAAGTAGCAGTGCCTCGCACGACTCCTTTTCGTTGCCGTCCAGTTCCCGTACAGCCTTCAGCACACCCTCCTTACGAAGTCCCCACTCTAAACTCTTACCTGTATATATAAAATTAAATTGATATATCACATTAGTTAAAGACTTCGGTAATAAGTACCTGAAAATTTTTCCTCAAAATATTCAAGCAAAATAACTCTCTCGATAATAGGAACGAATGGTTATTCAAATTAACATTTGCCTAAACAATGATGTAACATCTCACGGTTGAGCGGACGTCGAATAATCAACGCTTCATTATCTACTAAACATGTTTAATTTGACTTGTCATTACCTATTAACGTATATGAAAAACATAAAACACTTTGTTAACACTTTTATTTAAACAACTTCAGTTGGGGGTTGCAACTCTTAATACTTTGCATTCAACTCCCTACAGTAGACTACAAACAAAATGATCTTGATTTCAATCAGACCGCAAATCATTCTGCTAAGCTAAAATACAAAAAGTAATTAAAACAAAAACCCAACAATAAACAGACTTACCGACAGTAAGTGAAAATAAATCTGATTTGTCTAGGAGCAGAGCGACGTGCGCCCAACCGAAGCGGTCGAACACGCTGGTGAAGACGCGCGGAAGCCGGCATTGGCAGTACGACATACGCGTCAGCGTTGGGTATTTGCCCTTGTCGTTGAACAACGTCTGTGGCTGGAGTAAAGTTTTAAAGATTAATTTCCTAACGTCCAAATGTTGAGTTCCTAAGCGTTTTCAAATGTTGTCTTAGTACGGATTTCTCCCAAAAAAATGTTGTTAAAAACACATACCTGTGTCCCTTTGCGCAAGTTCCTTAGCCTGTGCATACGGCTGACCACGCTGGCCGGAGCCGCTAGCTCACCCTCTGACGGTGGCTACGGTAATAAATTTATTAATAACTTATACGATTAGAGAATAAAACTTATTGAGTTTATTCTTCTGTGAAATTTTCATTTCCAAAAATTTGTAGTCAACCAAAGTTTCCAACAAGTCTAATTTGATATTATCCTATTTTCAATCCCGATTAATAAAAAGTGTTTCATCGAATTTATCTTAACTAAATTGCTTTCTTTAGGTTGTCGAGATTATTTTTAGCTACAATACCGTTACGTCGAAGTCTGGAAAATGTAACAAACTTTATACCAAAAGTAGAATACTTTTTGAAGAATTATAATAGTTTTAAAATGAGGTTTTATACAATGACCGTTTTTACTATATTAAAAAAAAGATAAAAGTGATAAAATAAAACGGCGCAGCAGAAACTATGAGGTAGTTTTTCTCATTAAGGATTAAATGCTTTATTTTCTTTTAAGAAAATGTTGCTAACACTGAGTCTTATATTAATTTGTAGTCGAATTACAATATTTAAATATTATAATCTAAGCACTAAAAAAGTTTCACACTAATACACTACGAGCTTCGTAATCTGATCAGCAAAGCATGCATTACCTAGTCCACGTCACATTTTCTCTTACGTATTCAATCGTGCACATAAATTTAATCAACCTAAATTTTACCAAAAGCCTTGAATGTGAAAAATACCGTCTCAATACCAGCCATACCGAACTCTATTTTGCCAAAGCAACAGGATTACAGTACGTATACATAGAAATACTCCTGAGACTTCGTTTAATGGTTATAATTCACGTAAACAATTAAATAACATTTAACCGGACCTTGACAATGGCAGAGATAGTTGATAGCGTGTCCGCTGTTTCTCATTAGACATGCGAACTGGCGCTTAACATGTAATGACCGCTATCAGAATTAATTCCAAAGAAATCTTGTCTCATAAATATACATTGTTTAATTAATTTACATTTATTCATCATTACTTAGAAATCGACTACCATGTGCTGATAGAACCAGATATAGAACAGAATTACATAGTAAAAGCCCCCGTATATTTCTATAAAATGACAAGCTATGCGGACTTTGGCCGCGCCTTATACATATCTGTGAGCAAAAGCGACTTGCCGCGCAACTTTAGTTGCGAGAATGTACGAGTGTATTTTCTACAGGCGCTGAAAAAGGTGTGTAAAATACCTGGTCTCCCATGCCAGTGATGATTGGTGTGTTCCAATAGGCAGCCAATCTGGCGACGGGCTCAAGAGCAAAGGCGCAAGCTGGGCCCACAAATGCTATCACGTCGTTCTTGAAGTGCATGTCCGCAGCTAGACCCGGAGCGATAGCGCCGGAACACGACGGGTAACTGGCACATTAATCGAACACATGACATAAACAAAACTTTTTCGTTCTTTTTTCAAAAAGGAATGGAAGGAATGACAATATGTTTTATACAAGTGCTTATTTTAGACTTTTCTCAAACAATATTTAAGAAACTGAAACATTGTGGTATACTATAAGGCTTCCTTCACAATTTTTAACTTTAATGAGTTTTTCAACCTAATTTCCTGTATTCCTAACATAAAACGAGCTCTTTATATTCGAAAGATTCAGAATAAATACATTACAGAGAAAATTCCTTGAACAAATTACTTTTTAAAGCTAAAAAATAAACATTTATAACACTCAATTCTCATATTTTCTGAGCTGAATGTAAATGAAAACAAACTGTAAGTTAGTCTGCGAAGAAAATGTCACTTACATTGAGAATTATATTACTTCATAGTTCTAAGCAAAATAAGTAAAGAAAGACGTATAAAATTACTACTCCAAAACTATTACACTGCAGTGATAATATCACTTAATTTTATTGTTATGTACTTAATTTAAGAATTATAATCTTAAACTGATATATAAACACGGCTAAACACTCACGTATATACGTCCGGTGGCGGCACCGACTAGTTTCGAGCCCCCGATGGGCTCGAAACTAGTCGGTGCCGCCACCGGACGTATATACGTGAGTGTTTAGCCGTGTTTATATATCAGTTTAGTATAATGTCTCACGAAAGGTTGAATAATTTAATTATAATCTTACTTCTTATTTCTTACTAATATTATAAATGCGAATGTTTGGTTGGATGGATGTTTGTTTGAAGGTATCTCCAGAACGACTAAACGAATCCGGCTGTAATTTAGCATAGATGTAGAACATAGTCTGGAAGAACAGACAGGCTACTCTTTAAGTTTTTATTCAGTTCCGCGTGGACGTAGTCGTGAGCGACAGCTAGTTGATGATAATTCAAGTTTTGTGCGTGAATTTTGATAATGATATTTTAAATTGGGCTCGAGATAGTAATCGCTATTCGCATGTTACCAAGTTTATTAGATCCCAGAGACAGGGGTCAAGCAATAACAATAAGCTAACAAAGTTTACCAAATGTATGTATAATTATAATGAAAGTCGTGGAAATGCACTTAAATAATACAGTTAGAACATATAGTAGTGAGTAATTTCAATCTAATACATTCGTATAAAGACTCTCTTATCTTTTGTCTTGAACGAGGAGGAGAGAATAGAATAATTTAAAAAGCACAATTTGGAGGGACTCAATCTTGGCGGATTTTTGCTTTGGCCCAACTTTTGGCTCTATCAGACAAAGACCGCAGCATAGGGCTAAAAGTCTTATAATGTTTTTAAATACTTTCCCTTGTTATTATTATTATTTGTATATTTTTTCAACCTAATTTTTATGTATATACTTTTATATGTAATTATTTTATTGCTATAAGGACTGACATGTACATAAGAACCAAGGTCCTTATAAAATAAAGAAAAAAAATGACTCTCCTAATCTCTAATGAATATTCCGAACATCTGATTCCAGATCTTGCGAAGTTATCCGACATGTGAATCGCCAAATCTTATTCGGCGTGAAGGCACATTTGCAAATTGCGTCATAGACTTATATCGACTACCTAATGCCTATTATTCTCCTTTATAGCACTATTTATTAGACATACGTGAGTGTGTCTACTGTACTAAGGGTTGGTTGAAATTTATGATTGTCATTGACGGTGCAAATTTTTTTTTGGGAGGAAATTTTAAAAGATATCTTGCCTTTTAGGTGACTAAGTAATACCATCATAGTATGGCGAGAGCGATTGCAAGAGTCCCGGGATATCGAAAGGAACGCAACGGGACCCACTGCATGGAACTACAGCATAACCCCGAAAAAATACTCTCCCGTGCCTTTACAAATTTGTATCTTGTCCTAACTTTTAGTACAGGCAATTAATACGATTAAAAATTATATCAGTTAGGATTTCTTGTACTATACACTTAACTGATTCCATATCTGGCCATTTATAAACTCCTAGATTGGTATTAAGAGTTATTTCTGAAGATTTTCTTGAAATAACTTTACCTTAAAGTTCCGTAAAGTAGTGTTACCCGGATTCCGTGTCACATATCGTCTGATAAAGGGTATCAACCCCTCACGCGAAACGACTGACCTACATTAACTAAATCAGGTTCATTTAAACTTTAACGTGAAATTGTTCTTTTGTTTATTGATTCAATTTATTAAAAAAAATAGTAATATTTCAAAATAGCATTTATCAAAGAAAATTAAATTATCTCTTAGTATGTGTTTCTGAGACCAAAATCTCTGTATAAAACATATCGTCGTCTCTGTCATTATCTTTATCAAAAACAGAGATAAAAATAAACTTTTAACAAGAATTATGATGTCAGAAACTCATTGTTAAATTTTAACATTTTTACTCCTGCCTTAAACAAAAAAACCAAATAGGAAATAAGTGGTTCTGTACACAACATTTGATAGTATAATGAAATTGCAATTAAGGCAATGTTCAAGTAATTTATGTTTTTTGGCAAGTTATAGCATCATATGGTCATATTAACGGTTTATATATTTTTTTGTTTTTATATAAATTTACAGCACAAATTCTATCTATTACAAATACAGAGAATTTAAATTAAAAATTAAGAGTACAGGAAACGTTTTTCATTTGCACCGAAATTACACAGGATTTAATTATCTTTTATGTGAATTCATCGGAACTCCAATGTACAATTGTATTATTATACCTCAATAAAAACACGTAGTTTAATAAAATCCAGTCTTACCTGCCTTGCACCTTCTTCAATTCAATGTTGTGATGCGCCAGAAACTTCTCGTTAATTACGTCCAGAGCGATGTCCACTGCTGGCCCACAACGCTCAAGATCGAAAGGAGAGTCCAACCTAGACGCCATTAGTACCCCAATATTGTAAACAGTACGTTCACAAATCGCAACATTTAAAACTATAATAAAAATAAAGATTTGGTAATTCATTTTTAAAAAATACGTGTTTTTTTAATAATTTCCTAATTTTACTTTAAATTGAATCAGATTTAATATGACAATGTAAAACATTTTTATTAAACTTTTATTTATAAAGTTTGAATGACGCATAAAAGGCGGGAAAATTGACAACACGAGTAAGTCGAACAGTTTCAATCAGTGGAAGCGTCCGCCGGTGTCGGGGTTGTTTCCGAACTGACCGTATCGCGTGGAGGGTTGGAGGGTGTGAGAGGGTGGGACTGGCAAGGCAAGGCAGTGGCGCAACAGATCGCGATTCTCCTCCATTACCCCTTGATGAGACGTCGTGAAATTAATGCGTCCGGACCCATTAAAACATAACTTGAAGGACCATCATTGTATCAACAATTTGTCGAGATTTATAAAAAGTAGCATTTAAATGCGGCTTAGATAAATTTTGAAGTTTTAGGTTATAAAACAAAATTACGGTAATTTACTTACAGCAAATAAAAAAAATATTAAGAGGGAAAAATCTAACATAGAATTAATAGCAACATTTTAATTAACAATAAAATATGGAGAACTGAACGCCAACCTTCGTTAGTCGGAGAGGCACCTCAAGAAGAAGATGAATTAACAGTTATTTAAACCACCAAAAAAGGTCATTTGACCCGTTCAGGCTTTCCTGTTTTTCTCACTATTGGTAAACCATCCGAACTCCTAAACAAACACACGTAGCGTTCTATAAACTTCTTAAAGAAAATCGTAGTTGATTGAATGTTTCTATTTTTAGGGACATCTATATTGCCGAAACATGACAGAGACATTAAAGGCACGTAAGCGATAGAAATCCTTTCGTTTTACGACTAATAAGAATGATAATAACTTTCAGGCGAGCGATATTAAATGCCGCACAATCTTACAACAATCAAAACAATATACATGTCTGTTTATTGAGATTAAATTAATGTAAAGATTTCCACTGTTGAAAAACATTTATTAAAACATCTCTTTCACTCTCATTATCTTTCAGAAAAACAAAGATAACAATATGCTTGTGTACAGGTCTATAGTGGAAAATCATGGTTGGAATATTCATTTCATATGTATTTTATACCATTCACATGTTAAAATATATCCATTGTAAATATAAGCAAAATAAATATTTTGCTAAACTTTCAGCACAATAAAATGTAATATCGCAAATTAATATAGATATTAGAAATAATTGTAGAAAAATTAAAACAACGTTGTAAGATAGCAACAATAAAAGACAGGCCTTAAAACATATTAATTGGTCGTTAGGTTAGACGGGGCGAATGTAACAAAGGTCCTTAGGGCTGTCAACTTTCAGAAAACTTAGAGGATCACAGACACCATAAAGAAAAACGATGAACCACTCTTGGTCCTCAATTGACGACGAAAACAATAGATCCAAATACTTCTACGATGTTAAAGCCATAGCCTGAATATGTACTTTTCAAAGCTAAAGAATTCGTGTTAAAAGCGAATGAGGCAACCCTGTGCGTCGTACTCGTAGAATGCAATTGAAATAGCGCACGTTAACTTAGACTTTATCTGCAGTGTCGTTAGCACAACGATACTATAGACCAGGGGTTCTCAACGTTTTCTTGGTCAGGGGTCTATATTATTTGGCGATATCGATACGAATATTTTTCCGCAAATTTTAGTGATAGGCCCATGTCTAAACCTATTTCTGCTCGAAACTTTCACGAAAAGTTTCGAGTTTTGTGTAATGGTCGACACATTTGCGATGCGATAATTAACACAAGTTTTAAGTTATTTTCTGTAAAAAGAGAAGCTACATAAATCTCACAAAAATGTTGTTCATATTTATACGAATATTTAAAAAAAATCGTATTAGGCCCATGGATCGTAGACGTTATTACATTGTCTTCGCCAAGGAGTCGATCCCGCGTACCAGCTTCACTCCCAGCGTTCTTTTCACTAACGGCACAGCGACTAACAGCTCACTGACCACTAAATTTAAAATCGGTCTGGGACCATATTTTCTACGAACCACTGGTTGAGAACCATTGCTATAGACGCACTGACCTGAGCTCTACAATACAACTATTATAATAAAAGTCCTTACGCCGACTAACTTAGCACAGCTCGGAATGAACTGAAGATTATTAGAGCGTAACTCGTTCAAAATGACAGTAAACTTTATTGAAACACTGATTACTATAGTGTAATGGATCTCAATAATAAATGAAATTCTCAGATGATTTAATTTATTTTTACATTATCTTGTATGTCTAGATGTATTACTTTTAACATTTACTAGCTGCCATCCGCGAATTCGCTGGCGCGGATTTTAAACAAAACTTAATAAGTTGTCTATGTGTTTCAGAAAATGTTTTACATCTATGCCAAAATTCATCAAGATCTGTCAAGCCAAACTGATATCTGTCAAGCCGTTGTAAACATACATACATCCATCCAAACATACGCATTTGTTATATTAGTCAGTTTTTCGTAGAGATAGGTTGGATCTATATTCCGTTTAAATCCTCTAAAATAGTTGTAAAAGGTTTTATTAAAAGGAAATAATGGTATAAAAAGTCCAAACATGTTAAACATTACATTTATTCAACAAAATCTCTACACATCGCTTACATATTCACCATAAAATATATTAATAACATATATAAAAGGTACTTATATGGTGTTTTCATTTAACACATAACAAAACTGATATATATAAACGTAATCAAACAAAATATACAACAATATTTTAATGTATACACTTTTAAAACACGTATTTATAACATTATTGTTCAAATCACTTACGACATATTCTCCGATAGGAATTCATACTTGTATTAAATTGTAAATATAATTTATCTCATTTACTTATATATGGGCTAGCCTTATGTACTACAACACTAATCATGTTTTAATTAATACTGGCTTATACTACGAAATTAGTATGTAGTAATTTTTGAAACAAATTCGTAGTAATCATGAATTCAAACCACCGACTTCTACGTATAGGCCGCTACTTGAAATAACAGCTTTTGCTTCACGGCCACTTAAAGCTTCTGTTAATGTTACTTTCAGTTAATACCATCTTTATTATTAGTTTGAATCATCATCTCTGTTAACAACAGCTTCCGTCGGCATCAAAATGGCGAAAATCAAATAGGCACAAAAAACGATGGCCTATAGCCTGTCTATGTATAGACAGAAGTCAGTGATTCAAAGAGGTTATATGCAAAATAATTATGATGCAAGTTTTGAATAAAACTACTTACGTCTCACTTCTTTGAAAATATTGAGATTACTTCAGGCCAGCACATACATATGCAAATACAAAAGAAAATAAACAAAGTAAATATGGCAAACAGATTTATGGTCAAATATCTACGATAATTAATAAGTTTTAAATAAATTCTACAGATTATCGAGGCTTGGTTCCAACAGACACCTACCACAAATATTACAACCTTTACTCATAAAACAGATCCGAATGTGCAAAAAATATTTTTAAATTTTTAGTAGATTTTGGTAGTTTAGTAGAGAACATAGGATCGAAAATTTATTTTAATATGTAGTCATAAATTTACCAACATTCGTGTATGTAATTTTGTTGAACAAAACTAAAGTATGTTTGTTTATATATTGAAATTTGACAAACGTGCCAGCAGTCACCTGAATACGTCAAAATAGTAAAGCGGCCGCTGTCCACAGACATCCGCAATTGCAGATACCTGCCTTTAACCGACAGAGAAGGGAACGCATAGAAAGAGAATATCCTCCATTTTCATGCGTTCATATTAAATCTACTTCCCCTTCCCGCCTTTTTTAACTCGTCCATCAAAACGCGGAATTACTTTCATTTCACGCCTGTCTACTGTTTTGTTATCGTGTCATGTTTTTCTATTGCACAATATTAAATAATATATTTCTATTGCAAGGAACTAAAAAAAAAACTAAAGTGTTCAGATCTGTTTTACAAGTAAATATAAACAACAGACGAACACCTACAATAAATAATATTGACTAGAGACAAAACCTACCCGTAGCAACTAACTAAAACTAGGACACCGGCTAATTTCCACAAAAACAAATCGCATTGTATTTGCAATCAATACGAAATTAATTTTAAAAAAAGTACCTGTAATTGGTTAACCGTGGGTTTCCGAGTCCAATATCTTCGTTTAAATCATATTATTATCTGTGTTTTGTCAATCACAAGGATGGCGATGTTTCATACAGAGATTTTGGTCTCGGAAACTTAAATTTGCTAAAATTCAAATCATAAAGTTTATATAGATATATATCCTGTTATATAGCAGGTAAATCGTACAGAATTCGCTAATAATTTTCATTTCATTATACAGTAAGCCCAAAAAACTTAACAAAAAATAAAAAAATAATAACAGATAACAATTATTTCTGAATTAAAGATATTTTGGTTCTTATTGTAAGGACGTTATAAACTCCCTGCCTAATACACAATATCTCTATGACATTTTCGAAAAGCAAAAAAAAATCTTTTCAAAAGGATGGAAAATCACCTAATCTCTAAATATTTGTCTATTCCGGGGTTTATTATTTCAATTATATTCGTTGTATACTATCCTAAAGTCTAAATCCATGGAACTCTAACTATAGTCTGACCAGGAAAATAGAAAACCTGTCTTGAAGTCAAACCTCTATCGTGTCCTTTATTGCCTCAATTCCTACGCAAATTCCTTCTATATATTTTTTAGGAGTTCTATATTTCTGGTCAGACTATACAACATTTACTTCTTAATGGGGTTAATACGTACGCAAGCTATGGTCGCTTTGGATGCGACAAATTAATTCCAAATGCAAATAAACAACATACAATTTTAATCACTACACTAAAATTTGTGCGTATCGACCTATTTTAGTTTAAGTAGGAATTTCATTAATATTAGTACAGTGCTACAAACTCATCCGACCCGGTAGACAAAATTGAATCTAAAGTTATTAAAGGTTCCCCTTTTCAGTGTCAAAAAATGACACTAAATCCTTGTCAGACTGTAGGTCTTTGGTCATATCTGTCTTGATGTTCTATGCCTATTATGAAGGTTTTACTTTTTTTTTTCTTTAAGCTTCTCTCAACGGCCAGGGATCATTTACGATTTCTTTTGTTATTCAGACCTTTGATAAAATACTAGTGAAATTCCCGCTTAACATTTTTACACCTAACACGACAACATTTAAAAACACACACTAATTTATTATATAAATATATCTCTTATCTCATAATCTTATTGCTATCTCTGTCACACAGATTAAACAAGGAGCTCGATTGATCTCACTTTTAAACTTGCATAAAAATTGTACTTAAATGTCGACAAATATAAAATAATTCGCAAAAAAACAATCTTACATTACATTGAACCCTTTGGTTATGGTCACGTGACGAAAAACATTCATTTACTTTATTATAGGAATTCCTTTTACCAAGGACTCTTAAAAAAAAGTGCACTTGTCTATGGTACAGTCAGAGCCTTTCGCAGTGTTCCACTTACAGAAAAATTGTAACCTTGCAAGACAAAGTCCGCCTCTTACAAGCTATCCAACTACAGTGAGTTGCGCAAACCACGGCATAATAGTAAAAAGCAATAAGGTGCTTCCTATTGGTTATTGTTACCACGTCATCGTCTTGATGCTACCGTGGGTTTCCGAGATCAAAATCCCCGTTTAAAACATATTGTTATCTTTGTTTTGTCAAAGATAATGACAGAGGTGGACACATGTTTTATAAATTTTGGTCTCAGAAACCAACTATTAAACTTTCAAACAACCGTCCCTTTTAATGTGGACTACCACCAGCTTCCCTAATAGTACATTATCTGGAATTCTAATCAAACAACTACAATTATCCTTCAACTCTATACATAGACAATCCAAAAATCCTACCTTTTACAATGAAATTTAAGCTAAACATTACTCAAAAACTCTAAATTATATATTCAATAACATCAATGGCTAAACAATTTTTAAATTTACTTATTGCTTTTTCTGATTCCATCTCGCGGAAGACATCTGCAACTTTACAATTGCTATTGAGGCCAGTTTTACAATATCGCGACAAAACTTTACTTCAATCATATCTATACTAATATTGGAAAAACCAATAACCAATAAATACTAATAAATTGTTATTTATGACACAAAGTTTAACACGTTGAACGCCACCCGTATTTCTAAGACAATCCCGTTCAGGCCACGACATAAACAGAAAATCTAGTGTCAGCCACCGATGGCTGACGCGGCCTAAACGGAAAGTCTTAACGTGTTAAAGAACACGTATTTTAATTGCAAAACCATAGGTAAATATAATAAATATTCTTTCCAATATTCTATTAACTTAAACACAAAAATATCCACTTTTAAAAATAGCTCCACTTCTTTCAGTTTTAAGAAAATATAAAACAATTAAGTACATAAACAATTTATAACAAAAGAAATAACACAATTTTCATAAATATTTATAAAAACCTCAACATGAGTTATAATTATATTAAGCAACTACCATGTTATTGTGTATGCATAGTAGCTTTCGTGATAAATAAATAATTTATACATAATATAAAGAGTAATTTGTGATATAAATCACACATTCAAATATACAAAATAACCTTAAATTATAATTCAACAAGAACAAGCCGACGAAAATATACAACATGAGGTAGTAAGAGGTCAAAGCATACTTTGCCGTGGGTTTCCACTGCCGAAACAATTATATGAAAACATCCCATCCGTCTTATAATCTTTGAAAAGTGTTACGACAGTCAAATTTCACTATTACATAAACAAACAATTAATCTTCAATCAGTACATTTCTATAATCAAATCCTGTTACGTTAAACATTTAAAACAATCTAACCAAAAAGAAATTGGTCATTCAAAAACCATGATATCAAAATTTAAAAAAAAGCCGAATTATTAAGTTGAAAATAAAAGAAAATGACTATATTCCAGTAATATAAAAATAGAATGCATTCAAATGACGTAACAAAAGCGTATAATTTATAACAACTGGGACTAGCAAACTGGATTACAAAGATTTAAAGGACATATTGACATCGGTGACGTAAAATACTGGTGACACAATGTGTGACGTCACGGTTATTTTACCCACCAATCTATGAAGCAGTGGCGCCACTGTCGATAATACAGCTAATCAGAAGAATATCGACTATAGTTCCATATTTGGTCACTTCAAACAGTTGGTCATAGTATGACGTCAGAGAGCCACGGTGACGTATTGCGTGACGTCAGCTATGTGTGATGACGTCTGCGGCGTCGGAAAACGAGCGCGAAAATGCTGCGCAGTCGCCGCCAACGTCGCCTGCCACCGCTCATCGATATACCCGTACCCATTAGCGAAGACTGTGGAAATAGTTTTATTTTGTTGCTTCGACAAAGCCAACCTAGCAATATTTTCTTCAATATACTAGTCTGTAGATCCAGCGATAAGCCTAAACTGGTCTTGATAATTGTACATTTAGGCCCTTCGTACACAAGGCAACATAAATCTAGGAAATTAAAATAGTATAGCGTCGCGTCGCGAATATCGTCTTGCGTTACGTACACGCAACGTTGAATCGTCGACGCAAGTCGTCTATTCGGTAAGTACAGACATAGCGACAAAACGTCAACTGTACACATTTGGTCCATCAACTAGAAAATCACGGCGACTATTTTGCAACTTTTTTGAGGCTTTGTTAAAAAAAAACAATGTAAAATCGCCGGGTTTCAAAGATTTATTTTACCTTATATATGAAGGGCCTTATAGTCCAGGACATGTAGATATGTGTTTATATAAATGTGATAATGCAAAAGGCTCTTTATATGTTAATTTACCTGTCTCTGTCTTTCCAGACGTCGTATCTCTCTCACCAGGGCGTGGAAGGCGTCATCGACAAAGTGCCGCAAGGCAGCCGACGTTTCAAAGAACGGACACCCGAGCTGAGTGGCCAATGCATTGCCTTCTTCTGTTGTCACCTAAAAAAAATGTTAAATTATATTTAACATATAGCTAATTCATAATATGATCAATCAATGTCATCAGTCAATCAGTCAACGATGCTAGCTCTGTGAGAGCTTATTGACTTCACATATATCTTTGAATTTCTTCGCAGGTATGTGCAGATTGCATCAGTATATTTTCCTTCACCATAAAAATGTCATATAAATGTATATATGCAAAAAAAAAACACACTGGTACATGGTGTAATTCAAACCCAGGACCTGCAGATTACAAGTCAAGGACTTAACCCCTGAGCATCAGACAATCTAGTTTTTTTTACCCATAAGGGGTTAATACCTTGATTATATTAATTTATAATTGTAATGATATGTTTACATACTTGTCTAAACCTTGGTGCCAGATCCAGTTTGTTCCCAACAAGGACTAGGGGCAGTCTTTCCGAGGGTCGAGCCTGTGCCAGCAGCCTCCTGTACTCTGAAGCAGCGCGGAATGATCGCCGGTCAGTCACAGAGTAGCACAGCACAAAGCCTTCACCGCAACGCATGTACTGCTCCCGCATTGCTGTGAATTCCACCTACACAAATAGTAATACAATAATGTGTAAATGTATTTTATTAATAGAAGTTTACTTGTTTTACTTTCTGTCTCACTCTCTCTCATTGTGAAAAAATGAGATAATGATTCTGTATGAATTTTAGAGGTGAAAATTGCTAGTCTTTTACATCACAATGTACGAGACTATTAAAAATTTATTATAAAGAAAAGAATAAGAAAGCTTTGTATAGTGTAAACACTTATTATAATTAATAAAGCGATCTAACTCCAGCTTGTAAGTTTTTAATGTATTTCAAATACTCATAGCTAGTAAATATATTGTTTATTATTTTAATTTTGAACTCACCTGGCCAGCTGTATCTAAAATGTCTAACAATGCAGGTTCTCCATCAATGACAGCCTGCTGTTGGTATGAGTCCTCTGTAAGAAATAATGTGCATGAAAATATAAATATTTTATCCCCTGTACTAAAATTAAATTTATTGGGAATGTTTTTTGCTAGTCTATCCTGTTATTGTGGCAATACAGAGAGTCTATAACATATGAACTGTATTAAAACCGCAAATATCGCTTTCGTACGTTTGGCAAGCTTTAACAAAGTACTTTACCGATAGTAGGGTCATGGTAGTCGAGGAAACTGTGGCTCACGAACTGCAGAGTTACCGCCGACTTGCCAACGCCGCCGTCTCCGAGCACGACGATCTTGTAGACGCGGAGGCCGCGCGACGTGCCCGCAGCCTCGCCGGCCATGCCGCTGCATGCCTGGGGCTCCGAGCCGCGCCCGCTGCCACCGCTGTCCCGTCTCTCACTCCCTACACCCCATCGGCATAGACCACCGCCTAATACTAACACCACTTTGCTGGCTTTATTCAGATTTAACGTTTTAAAGGCTGCAATGTTTCTGAAAATCCATTTTATTTGCTTGTAAAAGTATTAAATAAGAATTATTCATAAAGAAAAATCGACAGCTGATTTAATTTGAGTGGCGGCGATTGACAATTGACAATTTGACATTTAGTTGTTTATATTATGTTGGTAACGATATTTTGTTATCAGGTTATCAATCAATTATTTTTTTTAGGTTTTGTAATACATTATTTGATATGATTTGATCTATAAAGTCCTAGGCCAGTAAGTTTGATAATATGTTTTTTTTTACATTTATTTAGCTTTATGCTGAAGCAGAATGATGGAAATAAATTACTTAAAAGATGCCAAAGGACGATGTTTAACGCCCATATGTGATGACGAACGTTGTATCTATCTTGACATTGACACTGACAAGTAAAGTGACAACTGCCTGAAAAAAAAACTTTTCTTGTTTCCAGTCGATAATTTTCGACAATCTTTTGTTTCTTATTTAAACGTAATCAAAAGGTCTGTTTTTAAATTAATATGGACGGTTTTTAATTGATTACTTAATTACGAAACAAGTAAAAGACATTTTCAAATTCTTGTTTATCAAATTGAATTTGTTTACGTAATTGTTAACCTAGCTTGTGTATATTCGTCTATTTATGTAAAATTAAAAACGTATTTATTTGTAAAAGTGTTGTTAACTGGTAATGCATTATTTAACAACTATCAAGCAAATCGATTTATTGGTTAATTTTGTGTGCGTTTTCAGGTAAACAATGTCTATTTCACCGTTCCTGCGATCCCCCTTCACTGATATCACTGGTGGTATGTTGTCCCATCAGATGTTGGGCAAGTGCCAGAAAGAGGAAATCCGATACATGGATTGCTTAGAGGCCTATGGATTGGACAGGGGCCGAGTCAAATGTGCACATATATTTGAGGATTTCCATGAATGCCAGACCAATACAAAACAGTTTAAAAGATTTATGGTAGGTTTTATGCTTTTAATCTATATCTTTATCATTTATTAAAAAAAAAGTGTAAAACATTTTTTTATGGCATTCAATGCTATTAAAAATATGTGAAATGTATCTCATGTGTTACTCGAGAAAGCATATGCCAAATTTCAATAAATGTGTTGAACCCTTGTGGAGTTATCCATTAAATATATGAATTAATAAAATAATGCTGAAAATGTGTAAGATTCAGAAATTTATTATTCCAAGAGATCTAATAAAAATGAACTAAGTAAAGATTAAAAAATTAGAAAATAAATATTTAAAAAAAATCTTATTATTTTTTGAATTTAATATTTCAGGCCATGCGTCGAGAGAGAGATAGACAAATAGCTGATGGAAAATTGAAAGGAGACAACAAATATGTCAGCCCAAAAGTGGACAGTTATTAATCATTTGTAGAGCAGTTGTATAAATATTGCAAAATAGATCATTTTAAGTACTAAATATTGTTGTCTTTGAATAAAAGTCTTTAAAGTACTATTATGGACTAATACTTATATTATGATACACCAGTACATTAAAATTATTCACATTTAAACAATTAAAACTGCAGGAACTAAGGATAGACTTGGGTTATGAGTTACTTTACTTATCCCTCATGTCATTAATTTTGCATGGTCATATTTAATACTAGTGGTCGCTCGCGACAACGTCCGCGCGGAATTAAAAAAAAATTAGTAGCCTATGTGTTCTTCCAGCATATTTTCTATATGTATGCCAAATTTCATCAAGATCCATTCAGCCATTCTGGAGATACCTTCAAGCAAACATTCATATTTATAATATTAGTAAGAAGTAAGATTTTAATCAATAAAAAACACTGGCCGAAAACAATTTAAAAAAAAATCTAAACGTCATTTGACATTTCAAATCGTAAAATCACTGTCGGAAAAGTAATAGAATTTTATTCCTGATAGTTCTAATTGTTTTCTACGATGGCGTATCTTTCTCCATTCTTTCGATCACCATGGACGGATATAACGGGCGCTATGCTTTCGCACCAAATGCTAGATCGGTGCGCTAAACAGGAGATGGAAATGATGGATTGTTTGGAGGCATACGGCTTCGACAGAGGATTGAAGAAATGCCAAGATTTAATAGATGACTTCAAAGAGTGCCAGTCAAATCGGAAGCAATTTTGTAGATTTATGGTATCGTAATTTGTATCCTAGTCGTTGCCACCATTGATGAATGAATTTGGAGGCTAGGGGTGTGCCGAGACTCTGCCTCACACAGAGGTGTAGTTGTTGAGTAATTACTCAAAAGACCAAGCGCTATTAGTGCTAGATATTTAACGAGGCTACGTTATTTCCAGGCCATGCGCAAAGAAAGGGATCGTCAAATAGCCGAAGGAAAACTGACTGGAGATGAAAAATATTGTAGTCCAAGAGTGGACAGCTATTGAGTGTTTATTTTTTTAAATTTAAAGATTGGGAATCTAATAAAAGTAAACGAATATTATTCCTACTATATCATTTCTTAACAGTGAACACTAAATTGGTATTGTTTTCAACTACGGTAGCATCATAAATTAAACGCCATGCTTTTGTGCGCACAACCGCGACCTCTCCTGTGGTTTTGCTATTTAATTTTTACGCTTCGATGCTATAAGACGTTAATAGGAGATACAGTTTTTTTCCAATCATGTCCGACCTAACGAACCAAACCAATTATCTACCCTCACCTATCTATTTTAAGTCGAGCAAAACTTACAATGTAACGATTCGATTCCGGCAGTTGAGAAACTGAGGTGACAAGTCATATTGTAAATTATATTATTAAATTTTAGAGTTCACAATTTAGCATGGTTACCGTGGGTTTCGGAGACCAAAATTCTCTTTTAAAATGTATCATTATCTCTATTTGGCAAAAGTTAATGACAGGGATGACGATATACGACTATGTATGACTATATAGAATTTGGCATCAGAAATCAACAGTTAGTCCGATGGTCTAGCCAAGTTAACAAACGAACTGGAACAATAGAATAGTTTTTATAAAGGAGTTGTGCGCCTCTAATCGTGATTTGATCCAGAACTAGTTCGAAATGGGACACAATGCCTAACAATGCGAATCGATCTGCACCGTACGATAAATTCCACCTTTTCATTTTTTTCTTAACTTATCACAGCTCCAGACGATTTTTATAGAATTTTTTTAGGAAGTAGACATGCGGTGTCTGACCTGATGTCAACTTAGCAACAAATATGAGTATTTTTGCAAGCCAAGGAGTTATTAGAATAAAAGAATATTACTTGTCAGGAAAGAAAGGACAATTTGATATGGTGGGAGAGGAGACGTATATGAAGGTGGAAAAAATATAAAGATGATATCTCCTCCGCATTTCAATCAAGAATACGTTGTTTCTGATCTCTCTGGACTGTCTCTGGACATTGTTGCAGATGAAAATGTTTTAGCCGCTTGCTCGTGTGCCACCTTTTACTGTTAAAGAATAACTATGGGTTTCTGAGACCAAAACACCCTTTAAAAACATATTGTTAGCTCTGTTTTGTTAAAGATAGTAAGAGGGAAGACGATAACCAAACAAAATCTAAACAAAACATTTTTGTCTCAGGAACCAACTGTAACTAATGGGACTCGATAGCGATGGGTTTATCTTCTTTAACCTTATTTCGTCAAAAAATTTAAGTGATGCGATGTTTTACGTGACTTCTTGCATATATGTTTTTAATGAATGTCGTTTGTCGTGTCTCTGACTCGTTAACTTTGTCTGCAATACTAATGCCATTCTTATAATGAAAGTTTTATAATTGTCTCATACGTGTTAACACGCAGTGCTAAACTCGATACTTAGGTTATCTAAAAATAACTAGCTAGAAGCTTCTAAGTAAATAGAATTTTATAGAATTTCTGGCGATGTAGTGTTCTTATATTTACGAGGCTTACGATATTACCTCATGAATTAAAACGTACTTAATTATTATTTAACATGACATTTAGTTATTTATTTATTTTATATCATAAGGTGGCAAATCAGCGACGGCCACCTTAAATCGCTGAAATAGCCAAGTGACCGTTGCCCATAGATATACGCAATTGCATATGTGTTGCCTACCTTTAATCGAATTTAGTTTTCTTTGCCTTTTATACTTTACACTTTCTGGTTGCAATGTATTTAAATGTTGCCAAACTATTCGGTCCCATATCAGTAGAACTCATAGAAGAAGCCTTTGACCTGCCTCTTAAACAAAGAGTGTTACAATGGAAGCGTAGGTACGTGAGGCGTGCATCAGTTCATCAAAATTAAAAGCTTTTTTCTGTTCCGTACACTTAGATCTTACGACGATTGTAATCAAAATATCACCGCGTTCAATACCACTCGACTTTTTGCGGCCCGAGTCATGGCCGGTTGGTAGAAGTTTTTGCGCGTAGTTTAGGCGCCAAACAATTATTATGATTAATAAAGGTACTATGTCAATACATATGAAATATATTATTTTCCTACGCAATTCGAATGTCGCACTTAATATACGAATGGGGCCCGATCGCGTTGTTATTCTTCCGATTGGATATGTATGAGGAATAAACAAATATTTAGATCGACGACGCGGAAACACTCGATGTTGCTTTTTGTTTCTTTTTATATGACCATTTTATTTTACAATCTCCACGTTTTACTTACATTATAGTTAAATCGTTTATTTCTTTTAGCGACTTTTTTCTGCTGTGAACATTTAAATTACTTGAGTACACATTTCATAATAGATTTGGCGTAGCGACAGCAGTATCATTTTTTAATGACGTTCAATTTTTTCCTACGTAGTGAATTAAGCGTCAATACATTGATGTGCAAGAAGACTGAGCTTTAAAAACGTATTTTCGGAAACTTTAAAATTACCGGCAAGAAGATACAGTTAGCTGCTATAAACTCATTCGCGCAATAAGATAGATTTTGCGGTTCCCCTATAAAACAAACTAAAGAAGGAGTGTTTTTACTGTAGCATTTTAGGGTTGCCTGAAAAAGTAAATCTGTTTCAACAGATAAACAACATTATAATTACAATATAAGTGTATTACCGTTGGTTTCTGACATTAATCTGTCTTGTCCTTAACGCTGACAAAACAGGCATAACAATATGTTTTAAACAAGGGTTTTGGTCTCGGAAATCTACGACTAGGCCTTATGGAAGGACAGTACAAGTGTTATTCCAAGTAATCATTAACTACACGTACGCCTGACTTGATATAAATGTAGCCAATCTGTTCTCTTGCGACTATTACATTGTAAAAAAACATAACAATTGAAAAAGGAATAAAGTCTCGTTATAATTTCGCTATTCCGATTGTTATAAAAATAACAATCAAGTATAAAAGGCATTGTTAATAAAATACTAGATGTCAATTTCAAGGTTAAAATAAAAACGATTGGAAGAACAAATGTATTACGATAAAGATCTTTTTTATCTGTATTTGTCTTAGCTATGAAACTGCTTCATGAAAAATTAAAATCGAATATAGTGATACAAAAAATTGTTTGCTACAATAATATGTCCTTTGTAAGTTGTCGGAAAACATTCAAATGTCAGGCGAGCGAGCCCGATTGTTATTACTTGGTTACTTATCATATGACAAAATTGCAAAATATTAATACGTTTGAATAATTCATTAGGTTCATCGACCGTACGTTCTAATGATGAAATACGAAGGCTGTTCAGGTGTGGAAGGTACCCGTGGCCGCTGTCTTAAAAAAAATATCTTGGAAACTTTTAAAATCTTAAACTAATTCTCACTAAAGCTCACTGTTTTAATATAGTTAAGATTTCATGTGATAAATGTTTTTTTTTTTTTTAATAATTAAGTAATTAGTTTTCCTACGTTAACTGGGTACAATAATTTTCTATATTTCTTTGTAAGTTTAATAATTTTTTTTTTATATTACTATTTATTTTTGGTTAAATTGGTTATTTTTTTGTTCCACGATGTTTGAGATATTCAGTTTTAAACATGCCAATGTTCGTATTCATTATACATGCTCCAACAATTTTGATTTTCCAATAAGGCCAATCTCGTATAACATGGCTGATAAATGTGTAGCGCGTCGCATTTTTTATAATTACTGCCTTGTTTGGATAAATTCTTCACACTATCCTACATATAAACACGTTAAGAGTAAACACATTTGTTGCTATATCGACTTACTCGCTGACGCACGCGACTTCGTTCGCAAGAAAGTAAAAATAACTTAATTATTAGCCAATGTGTTCTTCCAGACTACGTTCTACATTTGTGACAAATGTGAGATTGATTGATGTCAATGACAAACATATGAGATCCACTGAGCTTATCCATCCATACATACATCCAAACATTCACATCTATATATATAAAAGAAAGTCATGTTAGTTACACTATTTATAACTCAAGAACGGCTTTACCGATATGGTTGAAAATTGGTGAGGACGTAGCTTACAGCCAGGAGACGGACATAGGATACTATTTATTCTTTCTTTTATTTCGAATTTATTCCTTAAAGAGCTGCTTTTTATTTAACTTATCTATATATTAAGTTTTTTTTTATATATATATCCACGCGGATGGAGTCGCGGGCGACAGCTAGTTTATAATATTAGTCAGAAGTCACATAGACTTATATTTCGGGATGTATGTGTGAAGTTTCGTGACTGTAACTTGACTATGGATAAGCCCCATTATGACTTTTTTTAGAGTCTTAACTCGCGTGATTTATACTAACTAGTCGAGCTACAGTATCGTTAAGCTAGGAGGCTCGCGCTCAGTCGTCCGGACGCACATTACAATTTCAAAATCAAAAGTTTTTTGTGAGGATCGCGCGATACCGAGACCAACTTCGTCATTGGCGCCGCGCGATATCGACCGCGAGCCCACCTTGCCACGGACACATCACGCAGTTACTCAAATGTCATTATTTCTATTATTTACTGTAGGGCTGCTAGGCTAGTCTCCAGGACGTGTATACAACAGTGCCAAGAGTTACAATATGTGATTTCAGACATCTTTAAGTGTTTCATTATTCTATATTTTTCACAGAAGCAGGAGATCTTTTCCCTAGTTACCAAAATATAACCAAGAATAAGCTGTGTAAACAATTAGTAAAAAGAAAAAAGTTTTCGGGAAATTTATTACATCGCGAAATATTTAAAGATGTATCTTTTTTTTATATCATAAGGTGCCAAACGAGCGAGTGGCCACCTGAAATCGCTGAGATAGCGAAGTGACCGTTGCCCATAGACATACGCAATTGCATATGCGCTGCCTACCTTTAATCGACGGAGCAGAGAAAAAATATTTTCCCTTTCCATGCATCCTCTCATCCGGAGCGTCCACTTCCACTTCCCATCCTTTCTTTATAAGAAAAAGGGTGGGAAGGGAAAGAGGACTAATTTTGGCCTCCGGGACGCAAATCTTACGTTTCCAGATTTTAAAAAAATTACTGGCAGCCCTAATTCGTTAATTTCATAACAAACACCTGGGAAATAAATTTATTCATTGCATTAATAAAGTATTATGCAAAATCCACTACGTTCTATCTTAAAACTTGAACTTTGTTATTAAATAATATTTGTTTGCTTAAAAATATTTCAATGTAGCATTTGCCAAAAATATTTGAATTAAAAAAAAGCAGCCACACTCAGAGTTATTTAAGGATTACTTGTACAGTCTTAAGTGTAGTTCTTTTTAGTACAAAAGATAAAAATCAAATTGAAAATATCATCTACAGCACAAGGTGAATGTACGTCTTCAAAAAAGATGTGTTTCTAACAATAAAAAACTTTATCATTTTTACATGTCATTGGCCGCAACCAAAAATTTTGTCTTTTTAAGTACTTAATTAAAAAGAAAACAAAAGTTTGAGTTTGTCATAGTGATTCGCTACACCAAAGAGTATAATAAGTATACTATAGAAAGAGGGGCAACTCGCACGAAGTCGTGGATCCACGGCGATTGTGGCGCTCCATGCGTATAATCGCTGAACTAATTTTTTTTTTTTTGGTATCTATATACGTAGGCACGCTTATTTAGCTCACTATAATAATAACTGATAAGTGGGAATCTAATTTATGAAATTAAAATTGACATTAAATCAATGTTCAAAAATAATACACCCACTTATCAGTTATTATTATAGTGAGCCGATATCAAGTAGCCTTCTATGAAATACCTCTATTAAAATGATCCTATTATTATTGGGGAAATAAAAACAAAATATTTTTATATTTTTGTACATTATTTATTATATTTCTACATAACTTAATTTTAAATCTATGCAAGTACATATACATCAATGACTTTCAAGATATCAGCTCAATATTTTAATATTTAATATATATATTTAAAAATTACATTTACGGTAATAAATAGTATAGCGCGGTCACAAAAAAATGCATACCCTGTAATTAAAACCAACCCCCAAAATATTTTCAGTCACATGCAAGCTGGCAACTGGCAATTTGTAGTTATTTGCGAGTTTAAACAATCTGAACATATTCTCTTACAACATAGGCAAGCAGATTTTTCTTTACAATAAAAAATTACAAATAAAAAAATATATTTTTTACATATACACACATGGACCCACCTACTAATTTCAGACACATCAGTTTATGGCTCTATAATTCCAGTGATTGGCACACATTTTCTGAACTTCACTGACCTTCTCTCAGGAAGGGGGAAACCGTGTATATGTGCACCTACAACAAACAAACAGAATGTGATTTCCTGTCAAGTATAGGAACTGATATGTAAAATGTATTAGAAGTAGGGCACCATTCAATATGATAACCGGAAAGTATAAATCACTGTGGTGCTAAAAACTACACCAAAATACGAAAATATTTAAATGTTTAAATGAGTCTGACGTATGGGAATAACATGAAAATTTTTATTGAATTGTAACTTACCATAATCAGTCCATCTAAAACACAGTTGCATACAGCGTCGTTTTTCACGAAAACACATTTTAATTAAAAACAAAATGAATGAAACAACATTTAACTAAGAATACAAGAACAGAAATAGAAATACGAAAAAACGTAGCGGTTTGATGACACATGAATGTCTCGATGACAGAAATGATGCTTCTTCTCAGCCATGAGATGAAATGATGTTTACGATTATATAAAAGGTGGCGCCACTTTCCATACAAACCGTCCTTCTTCTAAGTTTCCACCCCCTGCGCTACACTAGGCTAGCTACTAAGATGTCATATTCATTTGGTTATCTCATTTTACATTTCAGAGTGATATTTTATTTTTCTTAAATCTCCAATAAACAATGTATTTATTAAACAATCAATTTACATTGTAATTATCATATCAAAACGATATAAACTTTCCCTTGCAACCCGATGTTGTTCAGCGAATACGATCAATTAATTAAGAGCAAAAAACAAGACTCGCATAAATCAATTTCAATAACTTATCATATAAATTAATTGCGACGTCTCGACATAACACAAAGTGTAAAGAATGCTGTTAATCTTTGGAATGACAGTTTTGACATAGTGTCGTTGGCACAAGGTGACCGGCGATCGGTTCGCGCCCATTTCGGCCGAGTGAGGGGAGCCCGCAGCGCGGCGACCTCTACATATAAAGTTACAATCACACTTAATGCTTTCTATCTGGACATAGAAAAATGTATTCATCTAGCATTAGTACTCAAAGAAAAGATAATGAAAAATAACATTATTAAGGAGTGAAAACATAGTGAGAAAAACTGGGCTAGAGGGCTATTTCGGCAATCAAAAGTATCAAGTTATGCCACCCAGTGTACCTTGTCAACATAAACAATTGATGACAAGACTTAGATGACTTACAGTCACTATAAGAACAGATTTTAATGTAAAGTTAGTAAGTAAAATAAAAATACTTTTTTTCTTTTTTTCTATCATAAATAGGTTTCCTGTCATTGTACATGCGTCTTTAGGATCGTGTGACGTTAACAAATTAAAAAAAAATTGTATCAATGTTGTTTAGTAATCTATCAATGTATTTGATTTTTTTATCAATAAGGCTTATTAGATGTATGAAAAATTTAATATTAATTGGCTTTTGTGATACACAAAGTATAATCACGGATATAATAATATAACAAAAATATTTATTTTTAATTGCCATAAATAAGTGCCTATTAATAAAAAAATATCAATAAAAAATGACAGGTTTACACTTGCATATTTATTGTTAGTGTAAAAGATAATACTGGTATGTATCGAATAAAACAATAAGATTCTAACGTTTTTTATGCATTAAAAGCTTTTCTGATAATCTGGAAAAACGAAAAAAAAAATTGTTTAAAAAAAATTCTTTTAATTAAAAATGGCTTTCCTTGTGTGTTTCACTAATGTTCTATATCGTTTATGTTAGCAAAAAAATAGACGACCATGTTCTGTATAGTTCATATATTTTTTGCGCTATGTAATGTACACGGACAACTGTAACCTAATACTATAATGACCCATTATCCCAAAAAATATTTTAAATGAATCATTCATCAATCCAAATCGCAAATGAAGTACTAGGAAATAAGCTTTGCTAAATACTGCTCTTGTAATACACTCGTAATTTACAAAAAAATATTAAGAGATAGTAAATCTAGTAAGTAATAGAAGATAATATTTCTATGTTTGTTAAAGTTTAACATAAAAATAACAACTCTCAAATTTGAATTTTTTTAAATCCATAATTCTTCTAGAAATATGCTGCGGACAATACCGCATCTTCTCTCCGTTTCTGGATGTTGAAAACATAGATTATTTGGCAATACCCTTCTTAGCTAAAAGTTCGTCCAATATTGGTACTGACATTGTTCAATATTTTTGAACACGATTAATCAACGAATCAGGATATTGCCTACGACATTGATAATAACAGATTTCATCTATATGTAGTATTAACGCTCAGGTAGAAAAGCATATTACGTCCGGCCATAAGCTTTGCAGTGCTTCTCTGCGCTCCAGTTCGAAACGAGGAGCGATCGGCGTGCGCGGCTCAAAACGGACGCAATCGCGCGCCTTTTTCATACTGACGTTTACAAATTTGAATTTCGAATTATTTTTTTTTAATACTGCCAGTGGTGATGTACATTTTTAAATCGTATTCCATTACAACGAGTGTGTTTTACATGATGCCAGATTGAAAAACAAAGCTATGGCAGTAAACTTTTTTAAATATAAAATTTAAACCCCAGTCTATCTGCTTAAAACATAATGGACGGTGGTAAAATGTTAAGAATTATTGTTTTTATAGTTTTAATTGCTAGTGTAGTGAACGTGAAGTGTGAAGTGGAAGATGTTCTTACCCAAGACTTGCCTATTTTATTTAATCGGACAAAACTATCCGAAGATGTGTGTTCATATTTATTTTTTGATGAGGTACGTTTATTGGATAATTCTATTTAACTTATTGTTTAAAGCTTTTCGATTAAATAATAATAAAGTTTAAGTTACAATTATATAATAAGTGTTTGATTTTAATTAAAAATATTTAGAAACAAATTGAAAATATGTTCATAAAATCTAGACGTAGTTTAGTGTCAGAACCTTCGCTACACGAAAAGCAGATAATTAAATTATTAAATGCTGGTACATTCAATTTAAATTGTTTATATTATTTAGTCGTATTAAGATATATTGTTTTGATAATATTAGAAAAAAGCACGAAGTACATTTGTCATGAAAGTTTTAAGTTTACCTTTACTTTAGTACTCTCGTGTTTCTTTCTGAAGCTTATGATAAATAATTTGCTATTTATAGATTATGTGTGCAATAACAGTGATAAAATTAGGTTTTATTAAAGTCGTTATAAATTCAAGAGATACTAATATCTGTTAACTTTCGACGTAGTATAATATTTTACGTTGGTTAGTGCACTATTGATACGTCACCTAATTCTATATTTATTTGGAAGTATATCCGGGCATCGGCCACTAATTGTCTGAAACATCTTACTAATATTATAAATGCGAATTTTTAGATGGATGGATGTTTGTTTGTTTGAAGGTATCTCCAAAACGGGTGAACGGATCTCATAGAAATTTGGTATACATATAGAACATAGTCTGGAAGAACAATTAGGCTACTAATCATGTTTTTTAATTTCGCGCAGACGGAGTCGCGTGCGACAGTCAGTTTTACTATAAATTTGGAGTAAGTCATGAATAGGAACAAAGTAGATTTGGCTTTCTCCCTATCGCGTTAGTGTTTAGTGGAAAACGGTCTTAAATTATACAATAGGATTATCGATTGACCGATTATACTTAGTGACATAGTAGCCTAATAAACTGGTTATCTTTCTCTATACTTATTACGTATCTAATGTATGATGTTCACTGAGACTTTTTTTTTAATTGTCAACTTTTTTTCCTGCTCCTTCTAGATAGTAAACGGCAGTTTATAAATAAATGTTTGTGATAATGTGAACACTCCGCTTAACGATAATTAATATTAATATACAATAATAAATCAACAATCACTTTTCCTTTTTTTAATCTTAATTGTTTATCGAAGATAAAAAACAATTAAAGACACATTATCAATTCGAATTTTAAGGATGAATATCCTATAAATATTTCTTGTTCCAATTGCTAAAAATAACCGCGTAAACTCATAAACCTATTTTGTTATAAATGCATCCGCAGTGACCTTTGGTAGGTTATCTAGTTGTTCGCTGTTCAAAACATGGATATATACGGCTCCCGATATCGAGATAATCCTAAATCAATATACTAAAATATTGACTGCCATTACGCCGCTCGATGAATCTAAAATAGGGATGTCAATTTTCATAACGTAAACCGGAAAACTAGCCGTAAATATCCTAAAATATTTATTCACCTCCTCTCACATATTATACTTACCTTTTCATTCTGCGTACACCTACGTACATATATCGTGTACATAAACGGGTAAGGGATAACTGGAGTAAAACTGACGTTATTCACGGATTGAATGAACACACAGCGGGCCGTTAGTATGAAAGCCCTCAGTTCTTCATAAAGCTTCGCTCCAAACCAACATCCACCCCTAATCCTCAGCGGGAAATGATAAAAGACTAGTGATTTTTTTTCACACAACTCACCCTAATTTGAAGATATTGATGTGAGACTCGTAGCCGAATTTGCATGCACTTGAAGAGATGGCAACCCTAAGCAAAATTTAAAAAGCACACCGCACACCTGACCGGAACAAGAATTAGGCCGAAAAATCGTTTGAACACTAATCAAAATTAATCTTGATAGCTGATAAAAAATCATGATTTTTCGACTATTTTAGGAAATATTTTTTCTATTTGCTAAATGTAACAAATTTAATAATTGTTAAAAATATGTTGTTAAGTGACCAAAGAAGCCTCATAAGTACTGTTTCTACTTCAAACTGGACCCACTACTTGATTTTTCTTGTCAGGAGTGAGTAGAGTACCATAATGGTTACCGTTTTTGGTAAACTTTATCACGAAACTATTTTTATTTCAGATTTAAACAATCACAAATTACATTCCGTTTTAACAATCTATTTTAAAAGTCCTATATGTGTTGAAAGATATAATATTTTATGAAGGAAAATCTTCGACAGACAACCTAAAGCACCACTTTGCTAATAAAAATAACTATAACATCGGTAGTAGCTAATTGTTGCATTATACTTATTTAGAAAATTAGCAGTTGTATTATTCTAAGTTCACTTTAAATTTATTCAACGATTACTTTTTGTAGAAGTTGAATAACCTATAGTCAATTATAATAATGTCAATCAAAGCGAATCATAAATTGAATAATTTAATTAAAGATTTATAAAACCCATTTAAATTCCACATTTCATGATGCAATACGAAAATTATTGCATCATAGCATTATTTTTTTTAAACCTTATTCGGTGTTTATACAGCCTGTATCAGTATTAGAAACTTTTTTTTATTTAAACTCGGTCGATGTTAATACGGCCAGTATTATACTGCATACTTAATTTTCTTTGTGTAGTCAGTCATTCAACCCGCTACGGGATCAACGGGACTTATATTAGAAGCAACATCTGTGTATTAGAACACAAAAAGCAATCATGATACAGCATAATTTTCAACAGTTCGCCTCGTCAAGTAGCTTTATTTAACACTTCAAATACAATAAATATGTTGTTAAACATCACCAATAATTTTAAGCAAATCAAATACAAGTTTCAATTTTTAATAAACTTGGTTAAAATATGATTTATATATGACAGAAAAATAATGCTCCTCTTTTTTCATAGCAGACATGTTTCCGTGTACACACAAAATTATCATTGTAAGGTTACAAAGTGAACTTGATAAAAGCTATCTTGGCGTGTTTACGTCCGAGTGCATTTCCATACGTAGCTATTGAGTCATTGGCTTAGGGCTAGCCTTGCCTCGTGTTTGTCAACAACAAAACGAAAATAACTTCAATTATCGATGGCTTGGTTTCACGCATTGTAATCTAGTTTTACGATCCAGAAAGTGTGGCACGTTACCTAATTCTATATCCCCGGAGAGAATATTTGCGTCCCGGAGACTTATTTTTGTCTTCTTTCCGTTCCCACCCTTTTTCTTATAAGTAAAGGATGGGAAGTGAAAGTGGACTTTCCGGATGAGAGGAAAAATTTTTCTTTCTATGCATCCTCTCCTCCGTCGATTAAAGGTAGGCAACGCATATGCAATTGCGTATGTCTATAGGCAACGGTCACTTCGGTATTTCAGCGATTTCAGGTGGCCGCTCACTCGTTTGCCACCTTATGATATAAAAATCCCGAGGGACTAGCGGAAGGGGAAATATCCTCTTTCTGTATGCAGATGACTATGGGCAGTGGTAGCAAAATCAGGTCCTACTAGTTGCTATACTATATACTAATCTTTAAAAAATCTTATGTCTAGTTACTATACTCGTTAGGGTGTGAAATACTTCACCAAATTAATTCTAATGTTTTTTTGAGTTTACAGAATCAGACATCTTACTGTCAGAAAAGGTTTCTGAGTAAGTATTTTATGTCTTACTTATTATAAATAGTAAACTGATATATAAACACGGCTAAACACTCACTTATATTCGTCCGGTGGCGGCACCGACTAGTTTCGAGCCCATCGGGGGCCCTTCATCAGGATGAGTGATACTGGTATTATTTCGCGGACGCGGCCCGTCGCTCACACTTTAGCCGTGTTTATATATCGGTTTAGTATAATGTCTCAGTTTGAATAATTTATTATAAATAATTAATTGTTTATTTTAATTATGATATCTCTTTTCATATACAGGACTTTCATTTCTGTTTAATGTTAAAGTTACAATTCTTTGGTGTTCTTTAGTAATATAACAGTTTATGATTTAAGCGGACAGCGCGTTCGACGTAGCAATTATTCATGACCAATTTATTTTAAAGGACTATACCGAAAACCTGCAACGTCTCTTCCGCCGAGTTTAACAGTGAGATGTCAAAGTGTGGACAGCGTTACCTTCATGAGAAGTTCGAAGGAGGGCTGGCAACTTGTAGTACTAATACCGCAAGAGAAAGACTTCGAACGTGCAGTAAGCTCACAATATTACTAAACAATAGTTTAAACTTAATTTAGAAACCGAAACAAGTAACTGAAAACAGTGCCATCTAAACTTTATGCCATCATGCAATTTCATACGAGATTATCGGGTGGACTTCTGCGCATGCTCTCCTCCATCCGCAGCGAAACTTTGGCACGTACTACTTAGGAAGATATGCGCTCGGAGCTAACCTCAAGCCGACATAACTTAACATTAGTACAACCTACTAGTTAAAACATTTTTTTTGTGACTGAGTAGTTACAGTAGTAGTTTTAACAGTGGTAGAGCCCGCTTTAACATCTTCGCACGAATTGGCCCGGCTCGCCCGGTGAAATACCACGACCACACAGAAAACAGGCGTAAAGTGGAAGCAATTCCACGTTTCGTCTGATGAGTGGGCGTCCCGGAGGCCTAATTTAGTCCTCTTTCCCTTCCCATCCTTTTTCTTATAAGGAAAGGATGGAAAGTGGAAGTGGACTTTCCGGATGAGAGGATGCATGGAAAGGGAAAATATTTTCTTTCTGTGCATCCTCCCCTCCGTCGATTAAAGGTAGGCAACGCATATGCAATTGCGTATGTCTATGGGCAACGGTCACTTCGTTATTTCAGCAATTTCATAAAAAAAATCACTGTTTGCCTTGAAGAGGCATTTACAGCTTCACCGGGCTTGAGGTGGCCGAGCGCAGATGGCGCTTAGCGTTCCTCGTTTTAGTTAAAACAGTTATTATCACTTAATTTATGTGTACAAATTGCTTAAACCAAATAAAAAATATTTTATCAACAGGTAACATTCACAATACTGGAAAGTAGTGATACAATCGGTCAATTGAATACAACGCCATCTAGGAATTACACATTGTGGACAACACTACTGGATAAAGATGGTACTCCATTGCTCTGGCAGCGTGGTCCAGATGTCTATATTTGGACAAATCCGGGGCATGTTAATTACGAAGTTAAAATTGAAATGTTGCTGCGTCACTACAAGAATGGTACCAGATATATACCAGCAGAGTTTACGTGGAATGCTATTGATGGTAATATTTACGTTAATGCTTTTCATAGAAATTAGCGAATACTATAAGTATTTTGAATTATTAAGTATCGTTTTATTTAATTTTCAGAAAGTGATTCTTGCTTCAGCGTTGTGAACAAATGTAACAACGATACTCAAGGAGTTTTCTTCTCGGACAGTATACAGGTAAACATAACTAAGGCTGCAAACATATCTATTATCTAGAAAAAAACAATTATGGTGCAAGATACTGCGTTTAAAAATAAATTTAGGGTTACTCGTGGTTACTGTTACCTATGGTATGAAATGATGAACTACAATAAATATTTTATGTGGACTTTAAGATAATATCGACATTTTTACTTGTATAAGGTCAACCAAGTTGCTTTTATGTCTCCAATAAGACTCATCATGTTGTAAACATCGGTTTAAAGTCGAAGTTTACAATGCGAATCCTAAGTAATGCCACATCCAAGTTGCGAAACGCTTGTTTGTGCTCACTACAGACCAACCTCTTTCCAGCCAGACGGCAACCGGTCTGCGGTAATAGAAAGGCTACCACTGGACGATGTGTGCGTGTTCATGCTTACCGGCAAATACGGGCAGACGCTGGTGAAGTACCGCACTCCGCAATGCTACGACATACAAGGCTGCGTACCATGTAAGTTTACTTTATGTTAATTTAACTAGAGGGACGCAGCGACCCGAAGTGGGCTTTGGCCACCGATAGCAAAAGTCTCCAGTTTCCCTGATTTGGCTACGTCACAACCTTGTCCACAGAACAAGAGCTCCTAGCTCCTAAAGATCTTTATCCATCCAATGATATTTGGGACGCCCAACTCGCGCTGACCTCTCGCTCGTCCCATGTGTGCATATTTGCCACACAGAACAACATCTATTCTACTTAATATGTACAAGGATTCAAATAATGATGTAAACGATGTCATGAGGTCTTTGTAACTGGACTAATATTCTATGCCATCAGAGAATTTAATGTTCGCTTGTATAATCATTTCAAATGGTCCAATTATATCATTCCATATTCATCTTAGAAGAGAGTGCGATCCCTTTTGGGATATGAATATTTATATTATAAACTTGATAAATATACAAAAAATCAGAACACACTTACTTGTATATCGGCTCTGAAACTGCTAGGATATTTTAGTAACCTAATATTTTGAAGTTTGTACAACTGAAGATGTTAATTCCAAGTACCGGAGCAGTTCAGCAACGTGTCAATGAAGGTGACGGAGGCATATGGCAACTGGCGCGTACTCGTGAGTTGGAAACGACCGCGAGTCACACCAACACACTACAATGTGTCACTGTACGCTGACACCACGCATAATGTTATTGTGCCAGGAGTAAGTATTCACTTTGTGTTTATGAATTAATGTAAAGAATTATTAATGAACAAAGATAAGCTCAGATTCAGCCAGTGGACTTTGTCTGGCAACAAGACGAATTTGATTCCTAACAAGTTCATATTTAAAACTGGAATTTTACGTTTATTTTTCTTAAAATTATTGTTATGCTATTTTGTAATACAGAATGCTACTGAGGTAATGTTCGAGGATGTATCTGGTGAAGGCCAGTATACTGTGAGCTTAGCAGCGACAACAGCAGGCGGGACAGCACGCACCAGCCGCACTGGATACTTCCCTAGTACGTACAGTAAACTAGAAGACTAGTATTCGTCCAAGTACTTAATTGCTCGACTACCAGCTTACTGTTTACGTTCTTTGACCACGAACATCCATTTAACTTTTATTTGTTTTTCGTTCACTCTCTCCAATCTCTACATCGTTTCCCCATTTTTGAGAACCGCGACCTAGTTTTAGCTCTTGCGTTATGCTCTAATAACTCTTTTGTTTTTAGTCTCTTTCGAATACTTGAGCCTAGTAAACAGTGTACATATTTCACAGTACTGGAGAAAATCAGCAACTTGTCTATGGAAATCGGTGAAGCAAAAGACGGGGGCTGGCGCGTGCGCATGCGCTGGGCTCGGCCGCGCTCAACACCTATACAGTACAACGCCACGCTGTACTCGGACACTGTGTATAACATGGTTGTTCCAGGGGTGAATATTTTTTTTTTACTAGGGGATATCCCTGACAATTTATAAAAAGTTTACGATCCATCGGAGGGATAATTTACGGACCATTTTATTGCGTCCATTACAGAATTACACTGAAGTAATATTTGACGAAGTATACGGTGAGGGTCTATTCAACGTGAGTCTGATGTCCACCTCGACCATTGGCACAGCGTACACGAGCAGCGAAGGATATTTCCCAAGTGAGTTTCAATACAAGAACTGACATTCAGTACAGTTTCCTTCGCCTAATTTGATTTTCATTTAAAACATTTTACTTGTTTAAGATACTTCTTTAACTTGTGAAATTTACGTTTCGTTTCCCGCTATTAAACCTACGTCAGTTTCTTCCTAGAATATAGGGGCTCCACCAGAATTTCAAAGCAAAGATTTACTTATTAAAAAGATACGAAGAGTCAATATTATGGTTTTTGGTAGGTGAGAAGTCAAGCAACATGACTGTGAAGGTGTTGGAAGGCGAGAACGGTGGTTGGAGCGTACGAGCGAGCTGGCCGCGCGAAACTGACGAGCCAGTGCAGTATAACGCTACATTATACGCTGACACTGTCTACAACATTAACTTACCAGGGGTGAGTTACTTATTAAATTAGTCGTCTTATACCCAAATATAATACATATCCTCGATTTGTCTACAGTTGGCACAATGCTAAGAATTACAGTGCATGGATTTATCGAAAATATTTATGAAGCCGATCTTTGATTTACTATTGCCCGGATTGCCTTTTCATACTATTTTTCTCTTTGCATTTAACTCTAAAAAACTGGCTTCTAGATACAATTTTATTATCAAAATATTTTGTGTTACAGAACTCAACTGAAGTGACATTTGATGAGGTATACAGCGAGGGTTCATACAATGTCACGTTGTTATCCATCACGTCTTCAGGCAAGCAACTTTACGCCAGCCACCAGGGAAACTTTCCACGTAAGTTAGTCACTTGAAAAGCGTCTTTTGTCCTAAAGTTGAGGTCAACGTGTAATCAAAAGTTTTAGAAAAATACGTCTTGTCAAGAATGTCGTTACATAAACAATCAAATGAATGGTTTGACCCAAACCTTTACTTACGTTTGTTAGGACTGGGCCACACACTGAGCGTGGGTCTGCTGGTGGGCGCGGCGTGGCTGACCGCGCTCGTGTTCATCATAGCGGTTTCCATGCTCGTCTACCTCAAAAAGAAAAACTCGAATAAAGACAAATTTGAGTACTTTCAGGTAATAATTAATAATATTAATTAATATTAATAATAATTTCATATTTCATGTAAAGTTTGTTATCAGGTGATTCCATTTCATCTTCTTTCTCTTTTCGTTGTTATCAAGTACTAAAAGAAAATTGGTAAATTAGCATGAGTAAAATGTTACTTAGGGTCTGAAAGACAAGCTGTACAAGGAGGGTGCGCTGGAGGCGGTGTCGGAGCCGGTGGTGTCCGAGGACAGGTGGGAGGTGTCGGCGTCGCGGCTGGCGCTGCACGAGCTGGTGGGGGAGGGCGCCTTCGGCCGTGTGCGCCGCGCTACCCTCGCGCCCGCTACCGAAGTCGCTGTCAAGATGCTCAAGGGTATACTATATAACACTAAATTCAGTTAGCAATGGGGGTATAAAAACTAAAAAAAAACAGAATATTTAAAAACTAGAAAAAAAAACTAGTAGGTAGTAAAAGTTTGGACCTTTCTTCTTTTTGGTAGTGGACAAGTTACAATAAAGAGTAGCTTGTTATTAAGTCTCGAGATGACAGTTGACATTTTTTGTGTAGAGTTCCCGACCGCGGACGAGGTGCGGTCGTTTCGCGCGGAAATGGAGCTGATGAAGAGCGTGGGGTCGCACCCGCACGTCGTCAGCCTGCTGGGCTGCTGCAGCGGCCGCAGACCACTCATCGTTGTAGAGTACTGCAGCCGCGGTGACCTACTCACATTCCTCAGGTCATCTTGAGTCAAATGCCAATAAAATAAATTAAGCTATCAAAGTATGAAGGTTTTTAAGCGATGAAAATTATACCAATTTCTAAACGTGTAAAATTTCAGGAATTCCTGGGACGTGATGTTAACTAAACGCAACGCGAGATACTACAACACCAAAGACAATCTAGAATATGGAACGGATCTGTTTAAAATTGACGAACACGACCAAAGCAAAGCTGTCGTCAACAAGCTGTACAACTTGCAAGACGTCTGCGACGAGCTCACGTTCCTCGATCTCCTCTCCTTCTGCCGACAAATCGCGATGGGCATGGAGTTCCTCGCCTCAAACAGAGTTGTCCACAGAGATCTAGCGGCGAGGAATGTTATGGTAACCGGCGACAAGACTCTGAAAATTGCTGACTTCGGTCTATCGCGTGACATTTACCAAGAGAACCTGTACAAGCAAAAGGGGAATGGAAAGTTACCTGTCAAGTGGATGGCACTGGAGTCTTTAACACATCGAATATTTACTACTCATAGTGATGTGTAAGTATTTACCACATTTTTATTTCATCATACTTAGCCGATAGACCGGCACTCTATGGTACGTTGGATATAGACAAAACTACTAAATCTTACCTATTTGTGCAGATGGTCGTTCGGTGTGGTGATGTGGGAGGTGGTGTCAGTGGGATGTGCGCCGTACCCCGCAGTGGCGGCCGCGCGCCTCCCGCGCCTGCTGCGCGCCGGATACCGCATGCCCCGTCCTGCCAACTGCACGCCGCAACTGTATGGACAAACACCACATAAAATTATTAAACACAATTTTTTCATGTATACAAGTTGTATGTTAATATATTCGAATCCGACTCGCAGGACCAATATTTAAGAATCGACTGTATTTGAAATGTTTGACAAAGTCATTTTCTTTATTCATAGTCATATTATTTTCGTTACGACTTAATTCAGGGTCGCTGTCGTTTACCTAATCGTCCATATTGCTTTGGGATGTTATTCTACGATTTAACGGGTTTAAATTGTGTCAACTAGTTACGAAGTGATGATGAGTTGTTGGCGCGTGAGGCCAAACGAGCGGCCGACGTTCGCGAAGCTGCGGGAGAAGCTGGACGCGTTACTCTCCGTCGCAGCGTCAGACCACTACCTTACCCTGGACGCACCCATGGACCCACCGTCTCCGCCTGCATCTCCCGCACTCATCCCCACTACAGCCCCACATAGTGCCCCACCACCGGCGCTCGATGCCCTTCTCAGGTATAGTTTCCATTTCTTTCTACTATTTACTGTTAAAATTAACAAGCTCTTTTTGTGGCTTGCATTATTTAACCAGAAGCGACTTGACTCCATGGAACTAGAAATGTAAGATCACAAAAAAAATCCTTTAAAGGTAATAAATTAATTGCAGTGACAAGAAGGAATGGCAGCGAAGTCATCATTACGAGCGGCCTAGTACGCTCAGCAATCGTTACACCTCGCCGCCCGTCACGCAGACCGCGTGACATGTGACGTGACACCGCGAGATGTTGCGTGATGCGTCGTGATACCTCGATATATCACGCCGGCAACACCAACTAAAGTAATGTAAAATATACTTGTACAGTTATTGTAAAATAAAATATAATTAGAACTTCAATCATTGTTTTATTTGGTAAATAATCGATAGGTATAAAAATAAAAGACGTAAAATTATATATTAATTCAATATATTATACACTTGATATATCTTAGCGCTAAATATAAAAATATTAAATATCCAAACTCGTGTTGGCCGTACCAGTCTCGACGTACCAATTATGTGTTCACTCAACTCACACACATATGGCCAAACGTATATAAAATAATTATAATTGTTATAAACAAATTCAAACATAGTTTAAAATATCCCAAACATTTTTTTAAAAATGACGTCTCAAATAAAGTTTCACAAGTACAGTGTTGCTGAGTTCAATTTCTTACGAAGAAAATCGTAGTAGCACGGAACATGTTAAGAAAGTACGATCATCCTTTATTGCGTTTCCTAAAGTCCTACGTTCCTTTGTACAACATCTTTCGGCTGTTATATAATGGTTGGACGATGACAATTTAAGGTTTCTACCTACATAATTAAACCCAAACATGTAATGAACAATGGAAAATATAAAATTGTGGTCTGTTCTATGTTTCAACTAATTGTGAGATTAAATTTTACACAAAGAAAAACAAAACCCTAAAATATCTTTAATATAATATCACACTATCTTAAAATATAGCATTGCGTGTGTACATACCCTAATAAGCCTTTATAAGTAATGCTAGCTTAAATATCTTACCGTAGGTTTCCACTGCCGAAACAAATGTGCAAAAACATATCCTCATCCTTTTCATTCCTTACTAAAAATCTGATATAATATATTTTTGACTGTTTCGTTAGCGGAAAAAATACGGTCATTTAAAATCATTGTACACTATTTAAGAAACTATACATAGGCAATAACATGGTATCCGAATTACATTATCGCATGACTATGACGTCAGAGGACACATGTTATTGTGCACGCATTTCTTACTTAAAAGATTAATATCTCCTATCAACAAAATTGAAGAAATTATTTATTAAATCTTATTGCAAAAATGACTTTAATATGTGTATATTTTTATTTATTTTAATTCTTTCGTTGCGTTTACATAATTTTTCTTATATTTATAAAACAGATAAACAATATTTTGTGAAATGAAATCAGACCTAAATGGCAAGAATACTAGTAAACATATGTACAAAATATATTAAACAAATAATACATAACAAAACACATTTTTTCTAAAAAAAAAGTTTAAGCTGATTTTTTGGTTTTTAAAGCAATATTAAGAGTTGGCAAAGAAAAAATAGGTAGAATAGAATATGTTATCTATTAATTTTCTTATGAATTCCTATATTTTCCACGTAATACAAAAGTGCTTATTACCTTATTAATAACAGAAACCTTACGGATTTTAATATAACTTCAGTATACTTTAAAATCAAAGAGATCTATTTTACAAGCAGCTAGAAAAAACATACATTACCTTCATATATTCATAAATATGAAAAAACTAGAAATCCGCTAAGATTATATTTGTCAGCGGATTTTTTTTAATAAAATGTTTCAAACTAAATAAAAAAAATAAGACTTAATTTTAAAGACAGTTAACTGGCAACCCTAAATCTATAATGGCGCCAACCTGTCAATGTCAAATCCAGCGCCAAAAGTGTTCTGGAATAAAATTAAGTTTTGAATAATATAAGATTAGTAAGTTCTTTTTTTTAGTTCCAAACATTTTATTAAAAAATTCTGCTGTCAAATATAATCTTAGCGGATTTCTAGATTTTTCATATTCATGAATATATGAAGGTCATGTATATAAATATACTATTTACCGTACGAAGTGCAATATAATCGTGAAATATAAGCTTACTTTATATATCATGGTATTTACATACAGAAAGCCTTATTTATCAATGTGTTATTTGTATATCTTTCATTTAAAATGAGAGAAAACCTTACTATGTTATTGCCAATTATTATCTGGTAAATATTGATGTGAAAATACTAATTTTAGTGTAATTAAGATTTTATATTCAAGATTAAGTACCATTTCCACCGAATAAACCGCTATTCTGTCTGCTGTCGGAAATTTTTTGAAGTAAAAACAAAATGTTTGCTATAATTTTAAACTACGAATATAATACTAGCTGTTGTCTGTGACCCCTTCCGTGAGGAATTAAAACAAACTTAATAAGTAGTTACCTATGTGATCTTCCAGGCTATGCCAAATATCATCAAGATCTGTTGTAATATTAGTAACATAGTACTACGCATAAAGATATCTTTACTAATTAACATAACAGTAAAAGATATTAATGAGAGTTAAAGTAGTATAAACTAATAAGTGGAAACGGTCATTAATCTTGTGTTTTTAATATACGTGTACATAGTGTTGCCAGGCGTCCGGATAAAACCGGACATAGGTTGTCTTTAGAAATAAACGTTCTCCAAATTATCCGGCTTTTGTTAAATTTTTTACATTTCGCAAACGAGAATGGCCGGTGGAATGTAGAATGTCCGGCCTTTCTCCCCAGCTGTCCGGTCAAACTGAACAGTCTGTCCGGTTAAGATTGGCAACCTGGCAACCCTACATGTACATATTTAATGCACTTTACAAGTACAAGAGGCAGTATTATATTTATATAACTAACTTAATAAAGAGCTTAATTATTTTCTATTCATACAACGTTTTATATCCCTGCGTTTCTTCAATATTAATGTACAATTTATTAATATCTAAATTTAACTTTATTATCTGTTATTTTAAACTAATTATAGATTTTAATTAATAACTAAAATATGTTTATATATTTTTATATATTCATAATTATATTAAATTTATTGTGATATGAGTATTTATAATTTTAATAGAAAATTAATAGCCAAATAAAGAAATTTAAAAATAAAGATTACAAGAGGTATATTACCCTATTAAAATTATAGCCGAATTATTTATTGGATTTTGATTTAAAAGTAATTAATTTATAATATTTTTTTATTTAAATTTGCATTTATTCAATTATTTCTATATTATAAAACACAACATATTAATGCTATGGTTGAAGCAAAGCTTAAAAATAACATAAAAACTACTTAACTTAATAGATAAGTACTAATAGTACTTAAAAATTGCATAAGTGAACAGAATCATGTATCAACTGAATGAAAATTATCTTTATCTGAAAAATCACAGATGTCGCTTTCGATACTTCATTTATCATAAAAAAAAAATTTTGATAATTTTAATCGATTTATAAGAATTTCATCACTGGGATCGTTTACATGATGATGATGATGATGAAAAACTAAATATACGTCTGTAGTATTGCCTTAAGGAATGTGTAACATAGTATCAGAGAAGACAATAATCCTTTATAATGAGGTCCTTGTGAGCGATGTGTTGGTACATATCGTGTGGTCAGTCAATGGGCGGCGGCTGCGCAGGAATGCTGGCTGGTGGCGCGGTCAAGTAGCCTGCAGCGTGCGGCGCTGGAATTATACAGAAAAAAGTACAGTTAATTTATAAATCGGCTTTATTTAACCACGACCGGTTTATTCCGGATTCCAATCAAATACCTAACTGTAAACAAACTCCATATTTACACTGAAACTCGTAAACCACACAGAAGATAAGTATAGAAGAGTAGATAGAAGCAATTAGGCCTCCGGTGCGTACACTCATCTGACAGGCCTAATTTTAGTCCACGTTCTCTTCCCACCCTTTTCTTAAAAGGAAATGATGGGAGAGTAAAGTTTGGCGATGGAGGTGACGCATAGGATGGGGAGAATCCCATTTCTGTGCGTCCCTTCCTCGGCCGGTAGGTATGGAATTTGGCGCCTGTTAATTTAAGCTGTCAATAGTTACCAGATATAGCATGTGTCTGTGGCACTGATGATATGAAGAGGTCATGTCTCTGCGCGGCGTACTGCTCCCAGACGCGGCTGCGGGCGAGCATGGCGCGCACGCGGTCTCCGTGCGCAGCTGAGCGCGCCATGCCCTTCAGCGCGCCCACCAGCTGCGCCGCAGCCTGACCCTCCAGCCGCGACTCCAGTGCCAACAGCAGCTCTGTTATCAGCTCGCACTCCAAAGCCTGCAATTTCACAAATGTTGGATGGGTTGAAATTTTCTTGTAGAATTGTAAAAAATCATATAATTTAATCTTACTCATATTATTAATGCGAACGTTTGGATGTATGGACGGATGTATGGATGTTTGTTAGATGGTACTTCCAGAACGGCTACGTGGATCTCGCTGTAATTTGGATAGTTGTAGAACACAGTCTGGGAGAACATGTAGGCGAATTATTTTTTATTTAATTCAACGGGTTTAATTCAATTTTCAATTCGCGCAGACAAAGTCGCGTGCGTCAGCTAGTTGTTTCTTAATTATGTTATTTAAAAGCATTGTTTATTTTATTTACCTGTAACACTAGTTTGTCAGTATTAGGGTTGGTGTTGTTGAATATAGCTGCGAGTGCCTCACACGCGGAGCCGACCACCTCGCGGCAAGTCTTCACCGCAGTCTTGAGGCCCGACATCACCTCAGTCTGCGTCAGCGCCGCCACACACGACTGCAAAACGTTGCAACGCACTCATTAATATCGGCTCATCAATAGTTTTTACTTAAGTTATATTTTAAATGCAAATTTAGTTCCTATTTAATTGGAGGAATCTTCGCTCTTCTTAATCCCGTTGAAAAAAAAACATGGATAACGTTGATTTTTCATACATATCGTATAGTCATCTCTATGGATAGAAAATTTCTGTAAATATTGAGCACTAGTGGACAACAGGCAGGTAACAGTGGGCAATGGTGGGCATAAATAGTGGCCAGTAGTGGGCAATAGACAATAAAGACCTGAGTGTCAGCTAGCGCGGCGAGCACAGGCACGGCGTGCTTAGGGCAGGCGGGCAGCAGACGCGCGAGGCGGGGCAGCTCGCCCAGCTGCGCGCAAACCTCGCCCAGCGCCGGCTTAGCCCGCAGCAACGCCGCCAACGCACGTGCGCATGTCTCTCCCCTGCTACCCTGCACACATATAATAAAACTGTCATACTCAGAAATATTGGGTAGTCACTAAGTAACCTTGAATCCACATCGGTAATAAACGTTCTAAGACAAAGTTGATTAGAAAATTAAGTAACATGAAAAATACAAAATAAGTCAGAAACAATCATAACTTACGTCGGAGGCGTCCTTATTTAGTGCAGTCAACGTCTCAGTGAGCAATTCCTGCAGGAACTTCTTCGGGCTGCGAAGACTCCAGTGCGGGTTCTGTAAGTACAGCTTGAGGTACACGCCGCCCACCACCACCTCGCCCGCCGGCGCCCACACCTCCTCGCCATTAGCCACACGTTCTAATGTCTCCCGGTCCTCGAATAATACGTTTGGATCCCGTAACTGGTTAGCTAAATGTCTGAAAAACGATAATTATAAAGTTATTTTTCTTAAATCAAAGAAATATGCAGTCATGCTTCATTTTGTAAATTAATTCGTTAGATATACAATTAGCCTAGACAAATCATAAACATGCGGTTTTCACGATTTACCGATGACATACCTGTCTCGCAGATGGGCAATATGAGCCTGAACGTTACGTCGAGCATCATCAGACCAAACAAGCTCGGGATGCTCGTGACTGCCGTCGAATGCCTGCAGCGCACTAGCACAGGATTCCCGCATCGCGTCCGCAAACACGCCCGGCATGTAGCGACATATTGTCAACCGTACCTGACAAAAAGAAAAAATCGAACTAAATATACCACTTCAACAAAACTCAGGGAAACAATACGAATCAAATCAAAAATTACAATGAGCTTAAGCACGAAAAACATTACTCGCCTGCCATATTGCGGGGTTTCTATATTGCAAAAAAAATATCAAACTAATTTTTCTTTATACTATATGAAGGTAATGTACCGTTTCAAAATGTTTAGTTTACCTTTGGTCCATGTAATTTGTCTGCCATCATACGAGACAGCAGCTCTGCTGCAGACTCTCGCATTTCTGGTACTTTGCTATTGCAAAACAGATCTAACAGATAGATTACCGCACCTGAAAATTAAATATATTAATATTTAATACAAAATTTGTCTTTATCTCAAAATCAAAGTCAAAGCTCGAAGGACCAATGTCATTGATCCTTCGAGCCGGATTGGAAATTATTTGCTTACATTGTTAGTATTAACACTCACCTTTGGCCAATGCCTCCCTAACAATCGCAGTACTAGCTAACAACGCAGCTAATGTAGGTAATGCGTTAGCCGGTGGCACTTTATCAGCCAGCAACGGCAGCAGATGACCCAGCACACCGCACGCTGCAACATCCTCTACACACTCGCGCACTCCACTAGCCGCGAGAGCCGCGCCTAGTGCCGCCTCGCGCAGCTTGCTCCATGCCCGACCAGATATCAGTCCGAATATAAGGCCAAATGAACCGATACATTGGATTTCAACACCTGTAAATAAAGTCATCTTTGAAATCGAGTTAAATTAATAAGAAAATAAATTAGACAAAGAGCTTATAAGATTCTTTATAATGTACAACATAGTCAAGCATAACATTTTATATTACCAGGATTCTTGATGAGAACATTAGCCAAAGCGTTGAGCGCCAGTGTTATATGTCCAACTCTTTCATCTGTCATATCGTTTTGAGTTTCCTCTTTAATAAACTTCAACAAATCTATAACAAATTGTTGAGGATTCTGAAAAAAAATTACAATCAAGTTCATGTATGTATCAAAATGTTCTTAAAAAACTTTCTTTTTACCCTATGTGGTCTAGTACTATTTATTTACCTCAATAGGATAGTCAGGTAGTTCATTGTATATATCTAGGTAGACTCCGCCGACGGGGAGCAAGCCCTCGTGCGCGGAATACGTGAAGGCGGGGTCAAGGAGGGGGGCGTCATCATCAAGTGCGCGCCATCCGCGCAACGACTCGCGTAGTTCAGCACGCGTGCTGTTGTCCCATACGAGGTACGGCGTGCGCCAGTTTGATGTCAACGTTTTTAATAACTGTAACAACGTTAAGAATTTTTTTTAATTCCTTCTAAATAAAGAGGAGGTCATAAGGCAAATTTTAATAAGAATCCAGTTTCTTTTGAAATTTTTAAGGTGGCCTAAGGTCATCAGCACGCGTCATAGTGCCTTCCACACTTTGTAGTTACTCGAGCAAAGTAGAGTCACCAAGATATCTAAAAACTACTGTAATAGAAAAAAAACGTAACCTCGTTGAATTTAATAGTTGCAACAGTAATATTATGCAAATGTGTAATTACCTCGTGCCTGTCAGGCTGTGCAAGGCGAGCACAGAGGTATGGCGTGAGCAGCTTGTGCAGGGCGTCGCGCACACGCACGTCCTCGGGCGCGGCGTCCTCGTGCGGTCCGTACAGCGCGCTCAGCGCCGCCGCGCACTGCACCGCCAGCTGGTTCGCCTCCACCTACATATTGAAACTTTATGACGGTATGCGCACAAAAGGTATTTGGTTACTTTTAAATATTGGTTTATAATCAACTAAAAGATTTTTTCAATTTTATATTAATTTTACAAGAAACAAGATAAAATAATTAGCTACTATTACGATCAATTGCCAAATAATAGTGGATAAAATCTAGCCAGTAAATTTCCAAAAGCATTTCTCTCAATTCTCTAAAAATTTACCGGTTTTTGATTCCAACTATCGTATCCTATAAAAGATGAAGATTAACCTGTTTATTCTCTCCTTCAGTATCGACACCGGACTCGGCGAGAGTGTAGTCGTAGTGCAGCGCGAGCGGCAGCAGTGCGTGCAGCGCCCCCGCGCGGGCGAGTTGTGCGCGGCACGTCGCCTCCGCGCTCAGCGCTGCCACCGCCTCTGCGCCCGCGCACGCAGCCTCGCTTAGTTGCTGCAACACGATACACACATTCTAGAAGTTTTAGTTTGTGACAGAAAATATTGAATTTCGCATGAAATATCCATACTATGGGTGGTACTAATTAAACACTGAGTGTGTAAATATAATTCATATAATTTTCAGTAATTAACACGACAATAAAACAGTAGATTGACTAATTTAGTAAGTAGTTGAAATGGAAGGACCATTTCAATTTATCTATTTTTCTTACTTGCTTACTAAATCTTAATGAAGATTTATACGTATGTTAAATAAATAAAGTAAAACATACCGGTCGCCGAAGTAGCGGCACGAGGTCTGCAGCTAGCGAGGGCATGTCAGCGCAGACGCGGCGGCAGGCGGGGAATGCGGCGGCGACCGCCAGGCAGCGCGCCGCGTGCGCACACACCGCAGCCGCCGCACCGCGCGAGTCCCCGCCCAGGATCGCCGAGCATCGGGACAATGCGGCTTGTAGTACCTGTACGATTTATTCATTTTATTATACATCTAATAAAAATATATATTACAACTACACAGATACAAATATAAAACATAATTACACGTAAGTACGTATACAACCACTTTGGTGTTAAGTTTTGTACGTGCGTACGCATATGCGTATTAACATGCATGCGTACGTACCTGCAGCCCACCCTCGCGACGCAACTCCTCCGCGTTGAGTGCGGAACAGCGCACCGTGGCGTGCGCGAGCTGGCAGGCGGCGGGCAGCAGCGCAGCATCACGTTCCGAGAACAGCTGCTCCGCCTCCACCTCCAGCCGCGCAGTACGCAGCAGCTGCGGGTAGCCCGCATACTTGTACGGTGCTAACACTAATAACAAACACAAATTAAAGGCATTAGAGACGACGCAGCGACTTTAAACATCCTTGGATTGATAAACGAACCTTCTGAATATCTCTCAAACAGTATAGTCTGTGTCCGAAGTATGAGTACAATATTGTTCGTATTAGGGCCATCTCCGGTCCATACATTTCTACTGCATAGAAACTCGTAAGCCTGGTTGACTGCTTCAAAACGATCCTGAAAATATAAACAAAACCTAAGTGTAAAGAAAATTTAGCACCATTACCGTGATTTTAGTAAATTAATCTATACTTCAAATTAAGTTCTAGCTATATAAATATTGTACTCACTCGTCCTTCTGGGTTCTTATCGGGATGGTACTGATGGGCGAGACGATAGTACGCCTTACGCACAGCCGCCTCATCGTGCGCGCCCGCCGCCAGACCCAGCGCTGCGTACGCCTCACTGACAGTCATCGACGGTGCCTTCTTCTCCACTTCCCGACGCCACGCCTCCAGTACATCTTTTAGTAAACTCACCTGAGATAATATGGAATCATTTATTTTATTTTTCACTTGCAATATTCGAATAAAATTATTTAACAAACAATTTGACGGCCGCTTATAAGGTACACCTACACGGTTATATGAAGGAGAGAGAGACAGAAACATCGCTCGAATTTACTTTGAGACAATTTACTTATATTCTGAATTTTGAATGCACTGATTTGTACACACTTGCTGTCGTCTGTGACTCCGTCCGCGAGGATAAAAAAAAAGCGTAATTAGTAGCCTACATGTTCTAGATTATGTTCTACACCTATGTCATATTTCAGCGAGATACATGCAGCCTTTCTAGAGAAAGCTAACATCCATCCATAAATCCATACATCCAAACATTCGCATTTATATTACATAAATAAGATATTGTCGTCTCTCTCTTTTTAGCCATATGACGCCCACTACTGGACATAGACCTCCCCCAAAGATAAAATTATTAATTATTATAAATTTTTTGTTATATACAACCAAAGATAAGTAAGATATTGTCTTTATTTTGTCAATTAGATAGAGACACTACATTGTAATTGTTGGATTAAAAATAATGCATGTGATAGTGACCGGGTCAGGTATAGGCCAGTCTGGGAATCGTTGTGTGTCACAGAGATGTCGCAGATAGAACATGTTGCAGAACAACTCGTGCTGCAGCTGCGGGTAGCACACCGCGGGGATGGCGAGGTAGGGGTACCTCGCGGCCACGTGCGCGCGCAGACGCGGAGTAAACTCTCCGATGTGCGCTGACACTTTCATTATTAACATACGTCTGTAACAAACAAGCAAAAATAATAATTACTTTTAAAATTAAACTATAAATATTACTATTTTAAATTAACTATATTAGGGTTATTTGAAAATATGTGCCTTTAATTAGCTTAGTATTTCGAAATAAATATTAATATATTTAACAATTAATCAGATATGTGATAAAACTTTCTTAGAATGTTCTAAAAACCCAGTTAAATTTGTCGTATGTAAATAATTAATCCCCTTGAAAAATTATTTAGAAATTTCTTAACATATTTAATTCATTCGGTTAAAATATGACCAAATAATATATGATACTAGCGGACCCGACAGACGTTGTCCTGTCTACACGTCTTTAATTCGAATATTATTTAAAATTTGACACTGCGATGGTAGCGCCGTCTGTCGGATCCAATGTAAAACATTCCAAAATCAACAACTACTAATAAATTAAAATTTAATTAAAAAAACATTGTCCAGCGGACAAAATTGTGAATCTAAACCATTCCCAGATCCCCTTGAACACACACAAAAATTTCATCAAAATCGGTCCAGTCGTTTGAGAGAAGTTCAGTGACATACACACTCACAGAAGAATTATGTATATAAAGATGTCCAAAGGACGATCGAATAATTTTTCATACAAAAATAATATTTAGATCGATCTTTAGGATAGTATATTGATTTCGTCTATAACAAATACCTCATCTCGGAATTCCATATTGCCTCCGGCGTGTCCCATTCGCCGAGGAAAGTCTGGGCGAACTTCTCGGCGCCATGATTCTCCAAGTAGCAAACCATCGCTTCCGGCAACAGCTGACCCAGTATGGACCGCTGCATTATATCCGAACTGGTCTGTAAATATAAAATAATCATATTAATTGCCCTCACAGTTATTTAATAGTGACTTATATTGCACTTAGGGTACATGTAAGGAACTCCTTCCAGTTACTTTACATTATTGCGATTTACTGCCTTACTTAGTACTCTGAGTAAATCGCAATAATTAATAAAAAGATAATGCGCCGTTATAGTTTTTAATACATGCATTTGACACTATAACTTATTTCAGTGTAAAATTTGCAAATTTTTTACTATAGACTTCTAACTGGTTGAGTTTTTTTTCTACGTCTGCAATGGAATTAATTTATCAAGTAAATCAGAATTAAAACACAATGCAAACACAAAATAATAATATACCTACTTGGTCAGCTCTGAACGCTTGCTTCATATGCGTAAGTCGTAAGAATCTCGCAATAGGCAATAGATTAGAGCCGGTGTACAACAGCATGAAGTAAAACACACCGGTTAGGTACAATTTAGATACTTCTGGATTGTCTTGCATCACTTCATATAATAGTGTTGCCACCTAAAAACAAACAAAAATTACATCAATATATAAAACTCTTGAAAAAAAATTTGTGTAAAAAAAGGACACATTTTCAAACTTTGTATTCCCAAACACCACAATTTTTATACAAGCAAGTTAAAAATAATTGAATAAATATCAGCAGATAACCTTTTCAACAAGTATAGGATCAAATGTCAACAACAGCTGAACCACGTGAGCCAAACAAGATGGCTCTGATAAAATCCGTTTCACTCGCGGCAACGGTCTTATTACAGCGTCTTCTTCGTCCCTAGAAACAAAAAAAAAACTATAAACGATAGCAAATAAATACGAATGAATGAATGGATGGTCTTTGTTTTGTTTTGTTTTGTTTTGTTTTGTTTTGTTTTGTTTTGTTTTGTTTTGTTTTGTTTTGTTTTGTTTTGTTTTGTTTTGTTTTGTTTTGTTTTGTTTTGTTTTGTTTTGTTTTGTTTTGTTT